ATAATGTTTATTTTAACTACAAATCCCTAATATTGTGGTCTAAAAGCACATTTTGGACAATATTAAGCCATAAAAACTCTTCCATGAACCCTACAGTAGAGTTTTTATTATGGCTGTCAACCGTGGCTTCATCAGCTCCTTGGCTCCGACCCCTCTGTCGGACATGTCGGACCACTTGTCGGCAAATTTCTGGTACCATTGCTGACTCCATAGAGTGCATACTTCCGCCCTTTGCCTGAATACCAACAATAAGCAGGCCGTGCATGATGGGCGAAACTGCAGCATACCCTCAAGTAAATAATGGAATCGCCCGATGTATTCAGGTACATTATTTTTGTGAGTGCTGCCTGAATACGAGGAGTGATTCCATTATTTTTTATTATGCTTGATTGAGGGTAAATAATTGAATTTCCATGACCTTGTACTTGTTGTTGAGGATTGTTATGTTTTAAAAGTCTCATGAAATTCACAATAAATTAATTATTTATTAATTTTGCATGTTTATTTCAGGTGAGATTGGAAAGATGGCAGGAGGGGAAGAAGACGAAGATGAGGAAGATAAAGAAGCACAGTTGTTAGAGGAACGAAGACTACAAGAGGAGGAGAGGAAACAAAAACATATAAAAAAAGAAGCAGAGAGAGAAGAAGTACGACAAGAAATAAGAAATAAAGTAAGTATAAAAGTTACCTGTCAGAGCTCTGGTTTTTCCGGGGGGGGGGGGCAGTAGACACTTTGTTGTCAGTAGAAACTTTGTTGTCAGTAGACACTTTGTTGTCGACTTGCAATTGACCTTGCAAGAGTAAGTCCGGTAGAGTAAATCCTGTTGGGGAATGATGGGATGGGTCATGTGCTAAAGATAAAAATGAAAAGCAAGTCAACAAAATATGATGCCATGCTAGATAAGATCTGTCAGAACTGTAGTTATTACAGTAAGTTATCAATTGAATTGACAACACAGAAAGCTGAGTAGATTAAGACCTGTCCTAGAAAATTCACTAACAAGTCACAACAATCTGGTATATACTTGTACAGTTATTCTAGTGAATTGCCAAAGCATGGATAAGTTAAAAGTAGCCAAAAAATATGCCAAGCGGTAGACACATGCTCCCACTGGGAGCCCTATTTTTTGCTTTGAGAATCTTTTGGCATCCTGTGATACCTTCATCAATATTATAATAAAGTGACGGTTCATATATTTTTACTGATACTTGAGCTTGACAAGTTTACTGCTGCTTCAAAGCTGATGAAACATCCAAAAGCTTCTGAACAATAATTCAGAACTATTTCTCCTTGGAATTAGATTTTTTAGTTGTGTGAAAAAGTATATTATAGGATTTGAACCAAGGACCCTGTGATTGGAAGGCAAGCGCCCAGTATCCTAACAGGGTACAGCTCTACAATGCTTTAGATAGGAATTTTTCTTTATTCTGGATATCAATTTTAAACTGTTCTTCCTTATGGGTCCAGTCACAGATCCTATACAGGATCTGTGGTCCAGTTAATAGTTTAAAAAGATATTAAGAAATTATACAAAAACCTATGAAAATTGGTATACACTGGAAGCAAGAAGAAAAAGTTTTATATTAAATCAAATGTTTGAAGGAATGCAAAGTTAATGAACTGCGAGTATCTGGGGGAAGATTGTTCATATTTCGACTGAGCGGTATTTGAATGTTTTTTCCCCACATTCATTGTTCCCTTTTGGTAAAATAATGTATTTTTTCTATTTTGTGCACTTAATACAAAGCACTTTTCAAAATGCATGGTATTTATAATAAGGATGATTAAAAAAATTTCAAATCAAAGCTCTCTCAGTACTTGGATCAAGTTTCATGTGATGAAAATGATGAATGTCTGTCATTTGTGAATAATATGAGGCTTGTCATTCTAAAACCAGAATACTGTCACTAACTTTTAACCCGAGTAATTAGCATAAGATTGTGGCAGTATTGTATACTTTAGTACGTCAGAGAAGCCATAATACTCACAACTTTGACAATAGTAAGTCGATTCCAGTAAATTATGACCCATCATTTTTAAAGCTTACAATATGCAGAATAAGAATATTAAAAAGTCAATATTCATATTTAGGTCACTGATGTTGGTTTTAGGATGGCCAGCCTCAATATATGGCCATGATGATGTCATCATACCCAAATCTGACCAAAAAGAATCTGAGTAACAGAGTAATGCTTTGGATTTATGTCAATAAAATACATCTGTTTTATTATATCCGGCATGTTCATGGATTATTTTATTGCGACAGCCCTCCCGCTAAGTCTCTTCAACAGGCTGCTCTCTATTTTTTCAAGCCTTCTTATGCAGCAAAAGCACTCTTTTCAAACTAAAAAAAATCTATTAATTTTATGGTTTCATTGTTATAAAACTTTAAAATATCCTGGCAATTAATTGTATCCAAACTTTGATCTATGACCTCCACATCAGAAACAGAGCGCTGTAGCTCCTATAGTATACGCTCGTTTTGTGCATGTATGTAGATAATCTGGAAGAGAACAGTATGCACCTGCCAAGCACATCGCTTTTACTGTATTAGTACATTATAATGCAAACATGGGAATTGGAATGGCGTTTCTACGGTACTAGGTTGGACATTCTATTACAATTATTTAATCTTGCTCAATATGAAGATTCATTTTGATAATGAAAAGATATCTTGAAAACATATACTGTAGTTGTATCCTGAACATGATTGATTCATTTATATCTTGTCATGTGATGCAGTGTCGCCGTTAGATGTGGAATCATGGGGGAGCACCTTTAAGCCTCCAATCAGAAAATAGCAGATTCCGAGCCGGAGTTTGGCTTTTTTTGCCTGTAGGCATAGTATATTATCCTCAATTTTACCCTCCACCCAGGGTTTATAAGATGGGTTTGAAGTGATTGCAGTTACATCATTATGTCATATTCCCACAGGTGCTCATTAACCTAGGTTTTGTGACCCCATGGGCAAAGCAGTAATGCGAAGCACATAGCTTTGGCATTGCAACATATTATTACTAATCTGTAATGTATTTATTACGCACATGCATTTGGATATGCTCAATCTCTTACACTTGATAACAATGGAAATAATTTGTTTAAGTGCATACAACTATTTTACAGCTCACCTATTCAAAGAACATAGATTTAAACCTTGATTCGCTTTATAAATTACCGGATTGGATTGGAATCCACACTGAATGAAAAATAAATTAAAAAAATATCTTTTGGCGAATTAACTACACTACCGTGCCAATTAATAGCTGTTAATATTGTATAAATATACATAAGCCTTTAAATTAAAAACGGATGAGGTGGGCGTTATTAGCATCAGTAAGAAAAAAAAGTAAATCTTGGGCATTAAATGCCCACGTGCACTGCTGTCAAAATACTAACATCACTTCAATTCAAAGCTACGTGTCCTTGGGCAAGGCACTTTATATACATTTTTATTTCTCTCCACACAAGCGAATAAACGAGCACCTTGCAAAATATAATAAAATTGTACATTGTGTATGAATTTTACTGTTTCTATGGAGACATAAAATGTAATATTATACCTCGATTCTGTTTCCATTGACCAGGGATGTGAAGCAGTTTGAGATTTACTTATAAAGCGAGATTTTTTTTTTACTTGTTTTGCAAATCCGTGACCACGATAATGATGATATCTAATAAAAATAACATATTTTTGTGATGCACCTGCTGGCATGAAAAGAAGTTGAAATATTTAAAAAAAAATGTTTTTCTTTATCCTTTTTACACCTGGCGCTCCTATGAAATCTTCAGTTTCAGCGGGTCCACATATCTAATTCTCTGGCCAATAGACACAAAAGCTTTTTTTTAATAATGATTTTCGTGTTTGTTCATTTAATTTTTGTTGTTTTTTACATTTGTATTTGTTGTTTTTTACATCTTTAGATTACATATTTAGATTTACAAAAATATAAAATCACTTTTTATTTTAACAAAAATTATTGCTTCATGTAGATTTATGGTGGTATCAGTCACTGTCTATAAGCTTTCCTTCCCATTGAATGTTATTTTTAATATGATATTAATTATTTAGCATTTTAATTTCATTAGCAATTATTCCTATTCAGCCAGGGTCGTATAATTCTGAACTCAAACTGGTATTTTGAATATATGTTTGTATAAATGCATGATCTTTTTTTTTTTTTCATCAATCCATTTACGATGAGCAATTCACCATAATGTATTTCATGTCAAGTCATTAAAGACAAATTTGAGCTGGAGAAAAAGTTGGCAGAAGGCATAGTTAGCCAATGTTGCAGTAATGCTTGTTAAGTATTCAAATGGTCTTAATACAGTCGTTTGGGTCATAAGTACATGTCAAAATTCAACAGAAAATGTACTAAAAGTTTATCTTTAAATTTGTTTTTCTTTTAGTATGGTTTAAAGAAAAAAGAACAGTTTGTGATACCCGATGATCCCGGCCGATTGACGAGGAAGAAAAAAACCCCTGAAGAACTCGCAGCGGCCCAAAATGCCGACGATGATGAAGAAGGTAATGAAAATTTTATTTCTTTATAAAAATAAATTTAGGGTATAGTAGTTTTAGAGTATAGCTGCTGTAATCTTGATATTAAATTAAACTCTAGGTTAGGAGTATTTCGGTGTTAATCACACCAAGGATAACACACTAAGTCCGAAGACTTGTTTGCAGTGGGGTCCTTCTGGTGTACCCCACTCTTGCCTCCCCACCAGGAGACAATCCCCTACTCTTTTCCGAACAGTGTACTGCGTTCTTTAACATGCACATGGGCCATATTGCACGCAGGACCAACAGATTAAACGGCTCAACCGAAAGACTGTGCGCTATCGTAACTTGTTCAGCCCTCCAGCTGAAATACAAGGAGAGCAGCGATGAGAATTGAATCGGGGACCTAGAGATCACCCCAGTTTAGTGCACACACAGTGGCTACCACTAGTTTAAATAAGGTATTCATGAAGCAAAAACGAAGTTTAAATGCAGCAAAAAGCGATGCTTATAAAGCAAAAAAGGAATGTTAAAACAAAATGTGGTATTCATGAACCAAAAATAGTGCTCATAAAGTAGAAGAGGATGCTGAAACATTTTTTAAAATGTGTTCATAAAGTAAAATGTGGTATTTATGAACCAAAAAAAAAAATGCTCATGATGCAATATTGAATGTTAATTGCAAAAAGAATGATTATAATAAAGTAAAATTTTGTATTCATGAACCAAGAGTGCTCATAACGATAAATGAGTTACAGTCTTTACGAAGTAAAAAAAGCGCTTATGAAGTTAAAATTGTTGCTCATAAGGCAAAGAGAAATGCTCATGAAGCAAAATTAGCCATAATGAACTGACACCTTAAAACCAAGCTCTGGAGGGAAAAAAATTGTTGATGTTTACAACTGCTTTTTTTAAAGACACATAAAGGGTATTTGATGAAATCAAGGGAACGGTTAATGAGATACGGATTTTTAAAAATATTTAAAAACCAGGTCCCAGAAAAAGAAGTGTAACCACCGTTTTATCCACATGAATGTTCATATCAGTACTGTAAAACCTCGAATAGAAGTCCTGGACTTCTTCTTCTTCTTCTTTCCGAGATGGGCTTCTTTTCAAGGCTAATTCTGCAAACTAATGAAGAGGCTTCAATTGTATATGGGCTTATTCGACTTGTTCATTTCGTTGAGTATTATTTTCATTCGACTGGTTTGTAAAATAGACTTTGTCGACAACAAAAATTAACGTAACCAGAATGCGTTAATCAGCGTTAAGATATGCACGTGACCAAAAAAAATATGGCCAATTGGTCAGTTTAGCAACAACATTTGTGTTAATAAGATTAAATTTTAGAAAATAAAATTATAATATTTACCCACAATGAAGTCAAAAAATAATTGTAGGCTAACAAAATTAAAAAACTGGATGTAAAAATTTTTTATGAAAAACCCATACTGCCACAGTCCGAAGCAGCCTTGAAATACGCAGCGTGTATCGCGGTAACTATGAGCCATTTTGTCTTGTCGAGTTGTCTATTCGACTGGTCGTCTTCGTTAGGTAGGATTTTACCACTGCGCAGGTGGGCGTGGTTTAACGAAGAACGACCAGTCGAATACGGCCAATGCTTTTGCCTTCTGAAAAGTATAAAAAAAATTACTTCATTTACAAATTACAAAGGATTAATTAGTTTAATGAACAGACCCAGGAAACAGAGAACAATAATGAATGCTCACAGTAAAGAGGAGGATGAAGATGGCTGAATAGCTAATGATTCATCTGCATTAGTTTCTTTTTGTACCATACTTTTGGCTCAGAAATCTAATTATGAAGAGTAATTAACAACACAAAGCCTTGGTAATTCTTCAGAGAAATTGGCTGCAAATTCCCAAAGCTCAGTATTCAGAAGGCAGATTTAGTGTTAGCGTTCTCTAGTCTTTTGATTTATGCGTTGCTTACAGATGTAGTTTAGCATAGTCCATGTTTATCATTGTGTGGTAATCAGCAATATATTACAATCCTTTTTTTTCAGCTAGTCCGTTCAATATTCATGGTCGTTTTTTATTACTTTATCATAATTGTTATAGCTGTCGACATCATCATCTTCATCATCAGTATTATAATTATTTTCATCATTGGAATCATCATCATCATCATCATCAGTTGTTATTGTCATATTGTCGTCATCATCATTATCATCATCATCGTATTGTCATTGTCATATTGTAGTCATCGTCATCATTTCCATCATTAGCATCATCACGATTACTGTCATCATCATCATTTATTTATTTATTTATTTATTTATTCTGGTTTATTATTAAAACATTTTGATTTGGCAGCACAAACTGAATTGCATCAAAATTTACATCGGTAAAACAATACAATAGGAAACAGATACACAAAAATGATAATGGTCATCATCATCATCATTACCATCATCATCACAATTAGAATCACCATCATTTCTTCATTATTTTCATCATCGTAATCATAATTGTCTTTATCATAATCATCATTATCAACACCATCATTATCAAAATCTTCAGCATCATCATCATCATCAACATCATTCATCATCAATAAGATATTGTACACCAATTTTATTGTGATTATTATATAGTAGTTTTTTTCATGATGATATTACTGGCCAAATCTAATCAGATTAAATCTAACTACTGTATATGTTTTTCACTCTTGCAGGCATCATGGGCCAGATTCTGAGTTACGTCAATCCAATAGCGTCTCGGTTCGGCTTTTCCTTTGGTGGAGAAGAGGCAGAAGAAAAGAAGTAGGGTGAATTAGTTGTTAAGGGCAATACAATATGCTACTCACGAAAAAATATCATCCGAAAAACATTACATCTGCTGGAACATTGTGATTACTTGATGAGAAATTATTTTGATACCCTTCCTCACCGTCATTATTTTCATTAGAATCAACATCAATTTTTATCATCATCAACATAATTGTCATCAAAATTATCATATTTTTATTATCAGCACATTTATCATTATCATTGTAATCATCATCATTGTCATCTTCAAGATCATCATCTGCATTATGATCATTATCTTTGAGATCATATTATCTTCAAGGTTATCATCTTGATCATGATTATCTTTACTTACCACAATCATGATGGTAGTCATATATATTGATAATGATGTTGATCATCATAATCAACCATCATCCTTATTATCATCATCAGTATCAACATCATCATCATTATCATTGCAATCATGATTATTATCATCAAAATCATCATTATCATCACTTATCATCGTCATCATAATACTCATCATAATCATATCAATAATCACCATTCTGACTCCTCCCCGGCAACCCTACCCGCCCGAACCCATTTTTAAATTTTCAACCCTATTTTATAGGTTGAGTTTATAATTAATTTTATTATTATTATCATTATTGATATATTGATAATTAGAGTTATTGTAGTCGATAGTAAATACATGTTTGTATCCCACCAAACGTGCAATAGATAAAGATACGTACAATTCCTCATTTTTGTTGTTAACATTTCCAAGTGTGTCCCAGTTCTTATTGTGTTAAGGTGCTCTATAAAGTTGGAATCTGTTTATAGAAAATTGAATATTAAAACTAATATGTACAAATGAAAAGCTTTGAAAAAGTATTATAATTGGAAGTATTGGTAGTTGACTTTACTTGTCATATTCAAAAATGTTGGATGACCAAGTTGTGTAATTTATTACGATATCTGTCTGTTAGAAAAGTACTTGTGTATGATCTTACTTACTAAGTGTTCACATAAAAAGTATAAATTCATTTTCTGCGGTAAAGACTAAAATGAAGACTTTCCCTGATTTATGAGTACACTGTGTGGTTAATTAACTCCCTTTTGAAAGGAGATGAGTTGTATCATAGTTATTTATATCAGTTAGAAATCATATCTATTTAAAGGACCAAATTCTTTGCCACCTGGAAGGAGAATGTTGTGGCCATTTCATTTTGAGATCAAGCAAGTTGTATTGTTCTAAGATTATTGTTTAAGCAAAAGATTATAGAATTGCAAAAGGTTCGACTGGCTTGATTTTGTATCCACGTAATAGGGGGCGCCCTATTCGAATAGAGTTCACTCAAAACTCGTCTTTTAAGGACACATTATGTTTCAATGAAACCACGAGAGTCGGACCTCTTGCAGTTGTATTATCTTTCAGTGGCATATCGCTATCTATATCCAGGTATTTATTTATTTATTGTTCTATTATTGTGGTGTACAGTTTTCAATTCACACCAAAACTGTAATTAATATTCTTATCTGAAAACCATATCTTAAATTCCATTTTGATACCAGTTAAGAATTTATGTTTAAATTATGTTGACATTTGAAAGCAATGATTAAAATGTATTCTTTGTAGACTAAAATTGCAGATATTTTTAAAAGCTTTCTTGCATGTCATTCCTTCTTCTCATACAGGTAAAGTACTTAACTATATATACTTTACGTGGAAATTTCCTTGAAAAGCATGTGAAATCAAGTGTGGAAAAATGTTAATTAAAATCCAGTGTAGTCTGTAATGTATGTGTAATTGTAGACAAAAATAAAAACAAACAAAAACAGGAAACATGTTAACATACCATTGTTGTTCATTTATAAGTATAGTGTAACACTGCACCTTTTTCATTGCGTAATATGCTTCCGTCTTCCTTTTAAGTTACTTTCCACAATAGATAAGGTAAGATAGGGGAAGATTCATTGGGGGAGGGGGTGTGGGAGCCAGATCCCCAGAGAGAGAAGAAAAGGTGAAAGAAGGGAGAGAGAAAAGAAAATGGTATTTGAGAGTGCTGCATGATAGTTTTGCAAAAGCCACAATTTGTGTACCTCTATTGATTTTTAGTTTAAAAACGATGAAACCACCACCCCCAACTCAGATTTCTTTCTGGATCTGCCCCATGGGTAACACCCAATTGTTTTCCTGTGACTGCGGTATTCACATGTGTTCCACTGTTGATTTAGTTAGATTGACTGTTAGATTTAGTAATTTTTGATTATTATTATATTTTATGCAAGCTTACTTTGATGTTATCAACAATACTTTTTCAGGCAATATGAGCTAGCATCCGTTGTTTTTGGCATCGACGAAAGCTTGCAGTAATTTTGTTTCCATTTTTCTTGGATTTTTATCGATAAAACAGTTGTGCAATCGTAATAAGCAAACCAGATGAAACTACCGTATTTATTTGAATGAACGCTCCGCTTTGAACAAACGCCCCACCCCCCTTTGATTTAACGGCCCCCCTCTAGAGCATCATTTGGAATAAACACCTCCCTCATATAAATGCTGTGAGGCATTTATTTTTTCCTTGAATAAACGCCTCCCTAAATGACTGACAAATCTAATGGTAGCAACATCATTCTCAACACATTCTATGCTCTACTCCAGTGAATTACATTTTTTCTAATGTAGTTGGGATCACTGTGCTAGGTCTTTATGTTCACGTAAAAACACATTTTGATGCTAATTATGTGTTGTAGTTCCACATCACAGTGGGCATTTTTTTATTATATTTTACGTTAAAAAAAATTGCTTCCCTCGAATAAAGCCCCTCAAAAATGTTTCTGAACAATGAACGCCCCGGGGCATTTAAATATCAAGTATCAAGAAAACTTTATTGTCATCAATCAGACAAGTGAACAATGAGTACCACAGTCGTGTCGTCACAACGCCAGGTAGCGCCCTCTGTTACCAACCAGACGTTGGTTACCGTTCATTACGCCTGAATGACTTCATAGGCTTTCTAGAATAGGCATTTTAAAATCTAATATTTTACCATCAAAATGTACTAAAAACACAAAAGCTCGCATTACATTAGTTATCAACACACATTTAATTATCAATTAAAATTTACAAAGAAAATCTAAGATACAACATCTTAATAATTACGTTAGAGAGGTGTTAGAAATTGAGATCAGTGGTTTGTCAGTGGGGAAAATGGCGTCCGGTTGGACGCATTTTGCAACAAAAGCAACGGAATAGTATCGCGTGGTATCGTAACATGTAGTACTCTATACTGTAGACAAACATTATATGAATAAACAAAAATTTGATGATTTTATTTTGAAATTCATTGAAATCTGAGATCTGGTCAATAGACAAAAATTATAAATGTTTCCATATTATATTTCTCTGCAATCTGGAGATTGTTAGCCGTCCTTTGACGGGGAATCGATAAGCCGAAACTTGAAATTCTGTTTTCCCGTTTTTCGGCATGACTAAAATTTCAGTGTTTCTACACACGACCTGTTTCTATTCCTTGAATGTGAATTAAGTATGTAACGGAGAGATATGGTTGATATAATATGGCCAGTAAAATTGCAGAGCTAGCGAATATGATCCAAAATCCAATTATAACTCAAGATATGGAATCAATAAAGGTTTCATGTTTATTATCATTATTTTGGGTTATTATGACAAGAGTTAGTGTTAGCTTCACGGGGAGAGAGCTATTAAGAAATAAACTGCTTTTTAGTTCAATCATGATCAAAGCCAGGGAGCATAGAGCTTGTTGTCTGTTGGATTTGGAGTCTGATATAAAAATTGTTTTTTTTTTTGTACTGTACCAACTTTCCAGTATCATGTTATGCTTCTTAAAACTCAACATTTTCCATCTCATGCTTTTAAGCGCTGTGAGACCCCTGCGAAACTCCTGTAAAAAGCGCTATATAACTGCTCCTATATTATTATTTTATTATTACAGCGCTTAGATTTTGGGTGCTAACAATGTTGATAATATCGAGGATTACCCTATGACGGTGATGAAGATGTTTGTGATAATATAATAGATGATAGTAATGATTATGGTGATGGTATTGGTGATGATTATAATAATTTATGAAAATAATAATTTGGAAGTGATCAAAATGTCTATTATACTGATGATACTGACAATAGGTTTATTATATTTTTTCTATTATTATTATATATTATATGATATGACATGATGGTGGTGAAGTTGATGATCATAATATTAAAGATGACACAGATGATGATAACCAAGATTCTGATAATAATAGAGATGGTGTAGGAAAACTATGATCATCATCATCAATATTGCCCTCATGAATATTATCATCTTTATTACATCATCAATATCACATCATTTTTATCACCACAATCAGTCTCATCATCCATCAACTTCATCACCATCATTAATCATAATCATTCATTGTCATTAGAAAGTTCCCCAAAGATTTAATTCCTCATTTATAAATGCAGTTTAAGTTGTTGAAAGCTGCTATGTAGAATCTTGGAGGAAAATATACTGTACTGGAGTACTCCGATAAATACATTTGCACAGAAGATTGTGATAAGTTTCTCAAGTTTATTGATTTAATGGTGGACTCTTCACCTCAACACATTACCATACACTTAACATCAATCAAAGCAGTTGCATTATTTGTTGCATTGATATACATTGCATTGCTTTGGCTTAAAAAAATAAAGCAGAAGAAATGGGAATAAAAAATATGTAATATATAAAGGGCAAGTTTGACTTAAATTGTATAACATAGTAGTAAACAAACTAATACTAAATATTTTAATATTACTTAAAAGTACTTTAAACTTAAAAGTATACAGTACATTAAAATTAAATAGAAAAATAGTATATGTTTTATATGTTCATGCCAAAAAAAATATCCAAATTATTTGATATTTCTAACATAACACAGCTACAGTATTCATATAAGGAGTATTGTCAACTACCTACCCTCAATACCCCAGGAAAGAGTTAAAATGGTAGATCCTGGCAAAAGATCCTAATACTAAAAAAAAAATAAATAAATAAATCCTGCAAGTGATTCGGGTATTTACAGTATGAATTACTACACTGTTTACATTCGCCAATAATATGTTATTTTCATTTTCTCCATCTGGATGTTTTTGGCAAAACCATTTGCTAAACACGAAAAAAAAAATTTTATTTTTATTTTTTTTCCACCCTCCTCTGAAAAAATGTCTAAAATACTTGTAAAATGCATGAAAACGGCACTTTCCATGATTAAATGTTAGCCCATTGGTTACCACTTTAGCTTGAATGGTTAGCCACGCACTCATTCTAAAATTATAGTAAAAAACTGAAACCTGACCGACCCTGATTTCCAACTGTCAATCTGCTTGGGTAACACAATTTTTTTGCAATTATATTGCTAACATAACACAGGATACATAACAGAAAACATTAACAATATATTAAGGGTGAATGAGCTGCAGGCTGGAATCTATTCTAGAATAATACTAAACATACTATTTTTCTCTTTAATTCCTCAAATGGCAACGATCAGCTGAGCTGGGATTTAATTTGGGAGGGAAATACATGCCTTTACGAGGCGACCAATGCACAAGCCACCTTGCTCGTACCCCTTAATGAGATTAAAATTGTTGCTCGCGGCATGAATATCGCCAAAAATCTCATACACGTCTTCGTACAAGATCATAAGGAACTCCAGAATATCAATGATAAAGTTCTCGCAGTTCTGTTCCGTGCATTTGACAAGGTCGTTTATGAATTTCTCGAGAGCCTTTGCGATAGCCGTCTCTTCGCACACCATCAATGTTTTCCTGACATCATCTAATGCTACACCCAGCAACTGCAGACCCTTGAAAATCTACAAATCGAGAATATCTACCATCATTAATTATGTCCCAGCAGATGAAAACCAATCAATCTTAATTACAACATGACACATTATAACGTTAATGTTTGTAAGGTAAATACATTAGGCAAACAAATGAAGGGGATTGCTATTGACGACTGAAAAAATGAATGAGCGAATGAATGAAAGTAGTGTTTACACAGAGTTTATAAACGTCTCTGATGACGTCAAATATATGGATTGATTAGTCCAAGACAGTGAGTGCCTGACTTATGTCTTTTATAAGCCATAGACGAGACTTTTTTTATACCTTGTTTCACAGACTTATTTCTTTACAGATCGTCAGAGGGTGGGAAAAAAATAAAAATAAAAATTTGTTTTCTTTTTAACCAAATATTTTTGCTAAAAACATCCAGATGGAGTAGAAAATGAAAATAAAATGTTATTGTTGAATGTAAACAGTGTAGTCATGGGATGGTTAAATGCTTTGAATTTATATACTTAGGAAGAAATATACATATCTTATTTTTGGAGATTTCAAGGCAGCGACGGACGTAATAAAAATAAAGAAAAACTTTATAAAATTTTTTGTGGTGACGGGTGTGCTAATTGGCCAAAAATTCAATTTCAATTTTATTCAAAATCATCATTATTGGCGGGCAGTGGGTTTCGCTAAACAAAGTATAAAAAAGTCTCGCCTCAGGAGAAGGATTGGCTTTCATTCATGAGAAAACATCCTGGTTTTACGAGAAGATTTGAACCCAGGACCCTTGGCTTGGAAGGCAAGCATCTTACTATCAAGCCATTTCAATCCAATTTTTATGGATTAGTTTGACAATATACATCAGCTAATTTACCCAGTAAAAAATATTCATGTGTTTATACCCACCTCTCGATCCTCAAATGCCTCGAAGCTTTCCTCAAATTTTGCTACTGTTGCATTGCCTTCTTCAACGCACTTGTCGAAATTGACGTTCTTACTACCAAGCCCATAGAACAGACCTCTGTACAACTGCACCCAGGCTTCTTCATGACTCATGTTGAAATATGACACCTCTGCAATTTACAATACACTTGTATTTAACAACACCTGCAACTAAAGCCTGCACTGCACAGGTACCTGCCTAGCAAGAACCCATCATTGCTCTGAATCAGACAGACAAACATACAGAGTTTTAGTTTTTCACAATCTAAACTATGTAAGTGCATTTTCATAGGCCGATCCCTCATGCTTAAAACCTACTGCTAAGGACTTCTGCCAAATCCAAAATCTCTTTTTCGGACCACAGCCCATTGGACCAACAACGGACCCCGGTTTGTTGGGCTCCAATCCCGGTAAACCCGCAGACCTACCCATCAAAACCTAGACCCACCACTGATTCAGAGCTCTAGATATTTACATTTTCAAAAGCATAGATTAATATATGCAGGCTTATAATTAATTCATCCAACCTGCAAGATGGTCACTCTACCAATTCAAAGAAATTTAGTCATCTGTAGTAAAATAATATCTACTGTATATAAAATCTGTGATCATTTACACATAGTAATAAAACACACACTTGGTTTTTATTACAAAATTCTAGCCAAACTGTCTTGATCTTATTCAGTCTACATCAATAACAGCCCATCACCATTGAACTTAGTATTCATTACAACCAAGATAGCAGTTCAATCTAGTAAACTGTCTCATTAATATTTTGTTCAGAAGCATGAAGTGAAATTCGAGACATTGTATTATCATTACTTAATTAAGGAAAATGTGGAGAAGGTCTATCTAATAATGATAAGTACCACCTCCACCGAATATGAAATCGAAGGCAAAATGCTGCAAATTGCATTTTGGTCTTGGAGAAGACAGTAAATGAATAGAACGTCGTTGATGAAATTAATTAACAAATTTCAAAGATGTTCGTTCATGCATACATAATGACTAACAAAGCAATGACCCATCCATATTAATTAGATCTTGAATGGGGATGATGAATAATATTTCATTGCTGTACCAATAGATACTGGCTTTTGCATAGTGTATATATTACAATATTACAATCCTTATTTTTTACAATACACAGTATACTGTAGCATATCGAATAAATCAATTCTAAGGAGATGGAAGTCATTTTGCGCTTGACCGCATTTCATTTTTCTTCTAATTTAATGCATTTGTATTTTTATAGTAATGCATCTTGGCCACTAGAGAAAAGAGAAGGACAAGCAATTACAGCCTAACAGGTGTTTATTGACATGGGTGTCGACCGTTGGGGATCAGGTTTATTAAAAGAAGGAAACACAATGAGCACAACTGACAAATCATGAGACTAGTAAATGATAAGCTGCTCTTTGACGTTGCAATTTACACAACGCAATTGTTGGAATCAACTACCATGGTTTAGTTGCTAAGTAACATGTTTTATTCCAAAATGTACATAATTCAATGCTTTAATAGTTTTAGCATCAGGGAAATAAATTTTACTTGTATCTTATATTATGCAAGTCATAACATTAGCAAAAATCAGTTTCTTAACACCAAATCAGTTGAAATACCGGTTCATTCGCTCATATCATCTAGGCTTGGCTTTTGCAATTCCCTGTTTGTTAGCATTCCACAGGAATTTCTCGAGTGTTTTCAACGCATCCAGAACACCGCTGCCAGTATATGTACCGGTGATCAAAAGTATGATCGTGTCACCCCTTTATTGCGTGAACTTCATTGACTGCCAATCAGGCAATGTGTTATATTTAAAATACCTGTTCTGACTTTTAAAGTTCTCCATCTAAATGAACCATAATATTTGCGTTCACTGTTTTCCCGATGTACACCATCTCGCCGTCTCCGATCATCCTTTCAAAACTTTCTTTCTGTCACCAAATACCATACCAAAACCTACGGTCAATGTTCTTTCACTTATACTTCTGCCTTTTTTTGGAAACAGCTTCCAAATAACGCAAGTTCTTCTAACTCTCTTTGCAACTTTAATTCACAACTTAAGACCTATTTGTTTTCCGGTTGCTATTCACATGCATTGCGCCTTTGAGCTCGTTTAGAATTGGTGCCATATAAAGTTGAGATATTATTATAATTTATTATTATTTTACAATGTGACAATGAAAGAATCTTGTATCAGGTGTGGCATCAGACATTTCTCAAAAAATGGTTCACCATTGCCAGACAGATGACCACACCCACCATGGCTGGGACATTTTAGTTTATGACACATCTAGATGTCCAAAATTGGCACTCTCTTGATGCCCTGTCCAGCCTATCAAATTTTATTTGACAAAAAAATGTCACATGCCTAAATATGGTCATGATAACATCATATGACTATATTTAGGCACATCATGACTATATATGGGCATACAACAGTTTTTTTGTCAAAGAAAATTTGATAGTGTAAACAGAGCTTCAGCCTCAGGCAAGGTATCTTTAGCTTAGAAATTCATTCTAATTACTGTAATTTTAAGCCACTCCACGATGGCTGGACCAATTGTCCCCAACAGCTTGTGCTGCCCTTGTCTGGTATCTCGACATTACCATTGATGTGGAAATTACACTTGCATGTTCTCATACCATATGGACGTGGAAACTACACATATGTGCCTACACCATTTTCATTAATGTGTAGATTTTACTTAATTGTGCTCATAACCCTTGTATTAAAGTGAAAATTCCACTACTTATGCTCATAACACTTGTATTGATGTGCAAATATCACTGACATGTGCCCATAAAATGGCGTGGATATGAATTTGTTGTACTTACTTGTGCTCATAACATTCAGATACTGACGATTCACCAAGTACCTGATATCATAATACCCATCCGGCAGGAAAGAAGTCATGGAAACATTCCCAACAGGAATTCGGTCTGTAATTGGATTCAATCCACCCTGAATGTACCTGGTGACAGAAGTAAAAGAATTATTATTAATATTATAATACAAATTTTGAAATTTAAACAACATTGTTTGCCAGGTTTGAAAGATCAATAGCAAGCTACTAGGATACTGGTAATAGTGAGGGTGACTCAAGCTTGGTTTCCATACAATCACTATACACTATCGACGACAGCTTTCGGTGATGCTGATTGGTCAGTTGAATCGGGGAGCCTTCCTGATTGCGTCGGGGACTGTACAACGATTGCACTGAAAGCACTGTAGCAACAGTGTAGCGATTTTAAGAAAACCAGGCTTCACTGGGTAATTATTTGGTAGAAAATATATCTGGAATGCAGATGTGACTTGGTGGTTAAGGTGCCCAATTTCCTTTCCTAATGTCCTAGGTTCAAATCTTATAAAATGCCAAAAATCATTTTAACAATTTCTCATCATCACAATAGATTGGGTCAATATATGGAACAACCTACCTATAATCAACATATTGGCCATCTGTACTGCCTGCTGGGTAGACTCCAATCCAGTCTTTATTTGTAGCCTCATCAGTTGGCACACTCCATGCTACATTCAATGGTGTTCCAAATGCAACGTCAGATGGCTGGGCAGCGATCTTTCTGGATTGTGTCACAACGGCAATCTAAAAGATATTCACAATTAAAATTTTAATTAATATTTTATAAAATAGTCAATAGATCAGAAAAATTTCATCTTTTTCATTCTATTTAATGTATATTAAGAAGCAGTTGGCACATCAAGGTTGGGGGTTCGAAACTCTTGCTGTGCAAATCGCTTGTGTCCTTGGGCAAGGCACTTTATCTACGGTTGCCTCTCTCCACCCAGTAGTACAAGTGGTTACCTGGTAGGTTCCAATACAAATGCATTGTTTACTTGCTGCAACATAATGGAATAATAATATAATTTAATTTAATAATTTAATTTGGTGTTGAGTATGTGTTCCATATATGATCCAATGACCGGGGTAGTAATGTGAAGTGCTTTAGGCTTTGTGCATGAAGCACTATATAAGAACGACATATTACTATTATTATTATTATTATATAATTTATACACAAAACCACAATCGATGCCAAATATTCATTAAGCATTACCTTGTCATTATCAATGAAGCCAAAAGCTTGCCACCATCCTTGCTTGTCGTTGTTGACAAATGGAACTGACGTCAGACTGACCGCTACTGGTGAAGTTTGAATTTGCTCCCAATCGCTCCATGAATCACCTCGTTGCAACTGCCAAACGTGCCACAAACTTTCAAAGGAAATGATTCACATCAATTCAAATCAAGGATAAATCATATTTGTGCTTCATAATCTTTTTTATAAAACCATTTTTGATGACACTGTCACCTTATGCTAGAATATAATAATTAGGGCCCTCAAACATAAATAACATATGACGCTCTATGAGGGAATGTAGACATTTTAAGTGGTGAGAAAAATATTGTGGTGTCACAGGATTTGAAAAGCAAGAATCATAAACCACCAAGCCATACCTCCACTATTGGCTATTTATTATTGACCTATGTAATTACATTGGGTATTCAAACCAACTTCAGTGCAACAAATAGTATGAAACAATAAAAGGTTAACTGTTAACCTATAAATTTCATTAAATGCAGGATCTGGAGGAAAAAATTATTTTGAATAAGATGATCTTTCTAAGACACAAAAAAATGAGGTTTGACAAAAAACTGGGAACTGTCAATGAGATACACATATTTGAATATTTAAAAACTCACATCACGAACTAACACAATCAAAGTAGATTGTGTTAGTTCGTGAAATCAAGAAAGCGAGTCAAAATACGCGCTGTTGTTGTTAAGGACTTTTTGTGTGGTAAAGAATACAAAATTGCTTGACAACCAATATGCGCTCGTTTAGACGCGCTACTGTGATTTCATAAACTAACACAATCTACTTTGATTGTGTTAGTTTGTGATGTGAGCAACGATTTAAAAACTGGGGGAAAAGGTGGAAAAAAGTGTGGTTATGCCCCTTTTACCCCCAGTTTTTAAATATCAAAATATCTGTATCTGTATCTCATTAACTGTTGCTAAGTTTTTAGGCAAAAAAATTTGATAATGTGGACAGAGCAGAAAAATTAGCCTGGACTATCGGCTGGGAGAAAGATCAGTAGCTTTTACTTACAGTTAAGAAAAATGAGGTAGAGGGATCTACTGTACATTGAGAAATTTGTAACTTTGAGTAAAAGCAATGACAAAGATTGAAATGACAATTTATATCAGGAGGGAATAATACCCAACATAAGCAGATTTAGCCAATGTAAATATTATGACACCTAACAAAAGACAATGAAACACAAGGAAAGAGAATAAACAAATCAAGACAATGAAAAATTCCCAATGGCGACAGTTTTCCACGTGGCAATGTACCCATCACTAGAAACATGATTAACAAACCTGACCAACCAGAAAAAAAGGTTTCAACTAATTTGACACATGTCATTGTCAATAGATCAGACGATATTAATTAGTTCCTCAGCTATCAATTGTTTACTTTGAATTTTTCTTATATTGTAAAGTAACTTTAAACATCTGCCAATTTCACAGGATGCCAAATTGTACTGCATTGTGTAGTAATATACAATTACAATATGGTTTGAGATGAAGTAATTCATTTCCAAATATGTAGCACCATGGAAGTGGAAGTCACTACTTTACCAAAATAAAACCATGTTGTATTTGTTCTACTACACCTTATAAATATTAAGCAGCAAACCATCCATCTACATTAGCCATTTTGATCTGTGAGGGTAAAATTACACAAATACAAATGGTTCATGTAGCCAGAGGTGTGGCAGTCAATTTTGGGTACTGTTGTAAATTTGGCACATACAGGAAATAACACACCTTGTACTGAGTAAAATTGACCAATGAAATTTTGTTATCACCTAATTAATATTTATGAAGTATAGTTTAATACTGTACATATATCCCATCATAGATTCAAATTCTGTACTGTGTGTTCTATGTGTTTATATTTGGTCTTCTTAATATTATTACCTTCCAGAAGAATCGATTGTGAATATTTCCACACCGTAGTGAATGTTATGTCCGGTAGTCAGCGGATTACTCACGCCACTGACTGGAACCTTGCCATTCATACTATGCCACACTCCCCATGTGCAATAGCCCCAGGGGTTGTCGACGTGGTCGCAGGTGGTTTGGAAGATGTGGTGTATACGGCCATCTTGGCCTTTGCCGTACACTTCTATGACCCCATTAGCCCAATCGTGTGACATGACAGCAGCAACAGGCTTTGACATGGACATCTTTGGTGGGTCAATACCTACAAGATAAATAGGATCATAGGTCAAAATATTTTTTTCCAATTAAAGTGGTAGTCCAGCATGTTTATACAATACTAATTTGAGATTGATTTGTTTTATGACTGATCAAAATGAAGAGAAATTGAGCTCTCTATGTGATTTACTGAGATGAATTTCAGCCACATTCATCCTTATGCTACTAAAAAAATGCAAAAATCCTGACATCTCTATTTATATGATCTTTGCTGAGATGTATCTTGTGGCCTACATTCATCCTTATGATACAAATATTCTAAGCTGCTCTATGATTTGTTGTGTTGCACTTTGCAGTGCATAACCTGACATTTTTACTATAAAATAATGTCACTATAAGAAACATGTGAGACTACTGCTTACTGCTTAAAATATTTTAGAATATCACGATCTACCAAGATGTCCTTTTTCATCTTATCTTTGTTAAATTTGTCTTTTTATGTTTCCCTGAGCATGGGATTCCTTTTCTGATCAGCTTACAATACAAACAAAAAATTAAAGTAAGATTGATATGAAAAAAATGGTAAGAAAGTTACTGTTCTTTCTTGATGACGACATACTCATCGTTCTCCATGACGCCCATTCATCTACTTTTTTCTGCCAAGTTCGGTACAGGTAGCCGTCCTGCATAACGGCAAATGCTTCAAAATAGTTGCTAAATGGGTTGTAAATAACTTCTGCAGCAGTAGCCAAGTTTGATTTGTTGCCACCAATTAATTGCCAAGCGCATGGTTTGCTTGAAATTTTACACACGAATAAACTTGAGTTACTTGTTAGCGATCGAGCAAAAACATGAATTTCAGTGTTTCGGGCTAGAGAGAAAAGGGAATCAATTTCTTTCACTGAAACTGTTGATTTGTAATCTACCGGTAGTTTATTGCTGCTAATTTCTGACCATTTACTAAATTTTGATGGGTCAGATTTATCCTGTAGGATAGAGTAAACCTGGCCATTAGAAACTTGAACAAAAACTTCAGTCTGGTTGTTTACATCGTGTACAGCCACTGGGTTTGAGACAATCGTTTTGGCTACAGTCGGAGAACCCAAATCAGCCCACGGCCCAAACTCATTCGCTCCCGTAGGTCGAGTACTCACTTGGAGCTTTGAATCGACCAGACCGAACGCTTGCTCTAACTGAACTTTTGCAACCCTATTTTCGATAACGAACAATTTACGGTTAGTGACCACACTGTCTACTGCATGAGCAATAAGGAAGAAGATTGCTAAACGTTGTAACATATTTGCTATTCTTCCAAAAACAAGTTACAAGACTGTCATTAGATTTAAGCTAGCCCAGGCGTAACAGAACATAAACTTTTCTGCACCCTCTCGCTGAAGTAAACAATACCGATCACATGGTTTGACCGATAATAAATAGTTCTCACGTGACAATAGACTGCCACAAGTCTCTTATTTTTTATTATGTTTCTCATTCTGGACAGCGCCACCAACGAGAATGTTTATAAGATCTTTGATTTAGAGACGAAATAATCCGAAAAAAAAAAAGAAATCGAGTATAAGACGCCAATTAAATTAGGTATGGAATGCACTAAGTGCAATAAAGAGTGAGTAACCCAAATTTAGGGCCTGGAACCCAGGCTAACGTGACAATTTTATGGGAACTCTAAACTCTGTGAACTTTGGCCTGTGCCGGAAATTATTTTGTTGCCTATATACACTATTTATGTTTTAAAAATGCAGCTGCACTTTAACATTATAACCACGAATTACATTTTTAGTTAGCGTGATTATTTTAAATGTATAAGTATAATTAATATCGTTTTTTAGCACGATATGGCATAAGATATACAAATTTGCGATCACAATTAAAAACCGGTCGTCGTTTTAATAGTCATAAGTGACTGCCAACGGAACAGACACACAACACACGAGCATCGGCTTTGCGAAGACCACATTTGGTTGTGAAATCTCAGAGCGTAGGATGTTATGTATACAAGGGCGGATTTGGAAGGAAAAAAAGAGGGAAAAAAAAGAAAGAAAAAGAAAAAAATGATAGCCCAGAACGCCTCAAATTTTATTTTCGGGCGTCTAGAATACAAGAATTTCGCATGTCCCGGACCCCCCAGAACCTGTCTCTTATACACATCTAGATGTGTATAAGAGACAGTTTCTGATCAGCTTACAATACAAACAAAAAATTAAAGTAAGATTGATATGAAAAAAATGGTAAGAAAGTTACTGTTCTTTCTTGATGACGACATACTCATCGTTCTCCATGACGCCCATTCATCTACTTTTTTCTGCCTTCGAATGTATTTTTGTACTGCATGTGCGCCAGGAGAGCCCCGTGACAGCAATGTCGCGTTGCCTTTGGGAAATCCGGCCAATCGGCCATACTTTTTTGCTCTTTTACAATAAACCAAAACGGCAATGACCAAAACGGCAATAACCAAAACGGCAACAGAGCAGAACGGCAATGACAATTATCAAAACAACAATATAAAAAGAGTAAGCGCCGCCAGGCGCGGGACTAATTGTTTAGATTTTGTATGTTTTAAAGTTTTATTTATTTGGATGTTTACTGCTTTTATATTGTGTTTGCCCTAATTCTTTTATTATTGAATGTGTATGGCCTATGTTGTTGTTATATTGTTAGGCCTAGTATTATTATTATTATTATTATTATTATTATTATTATTATTATTATTATTATTATTATTATTATTATTATTATTATTTTGCGTTTTTTACTTTTATGACATCAATTGTTTTAGTCTCATTTTGCCTGTATTTTAAAGTTTTATTTATTGTAATGTTTACTGCTTTTATATTTTATATTGTGTTTCCCCCCATATTTTTATTATTGAATTTGTATGTTGTTATATTGATATTAGGCTTGTTATTAATATGCCTGTTATTATTATTATTATTATTATTATTATTATTATTATTGTTATTATTAATGTTTTTCAAAATTGTTGTAGCCTCATTTTGTGTGTATTTTAAAATGTTATTTATTTATTTGGTCTATTGCCGTTTTGACTTATTGCGGCGTTATATTGCCGTTCTGGTCAAAAAGTGTTGCCGTTTTGGTCATTGCCGTTTTGACTAGAAACAGAAACAAATGATAAAGGATATTAATAACTGGCCTAATAATATATTACGGTACTGGTTAAAATATAAATATTTAAGATTTTTTTTTAAATCACAGAAATCGCAAGTTTTATATTCAGTACATTATCGACTGTCATTAAAATATGGATCTTTTCAAAATTTTAGGTGCGAATGCAACAATAGCACCACCCCACCCACTGGATATATGGGTCTGGCCAAAACTGTGGATTTTACTTGCCGATTAATACAGTACCGTATCATACATTTATTAATTGGATATCTTCTCAATTTTCAAGTATTGTTTTTATAACTTATTAGACACTTCCAACGCTGTTTGAAATTAATATACCATTCCTGTCGTTGCTCTTATTCCAATGCCGTATTCATTTGCAGTTTCTCAGTAATTGGTGGTCATTTTTGACTTATAAAATGTATCGCCGTGGATATTAGCTTTTTAGTCTATTGTATTAAAGTTTAAGGCTAGGTCTAACTCTTACGATACCCACTCCAAAAAAGACCTATTTTGTCCATAACATTCGTTAAAATAATAAACTAATAATTAATTAAAAAGTAATAAAATAGTTTAAATAATAGGTTTTTGTGTGATTTTGAAATAACAAAACATAACAAAAGTAGGCCTATATGTGCCTTCCATTAGGCTATAAGGATCAACGCACACATCCCAACTTAATATTTTTCACTATTTTATCTCTCACCCTCTCTCGGGAACGGAACGGTGTGAACGTCTGGATCCGCCCGCCTGCCACATTTTCTCGCTCCCGAGCCCCATGACTCGTCGTTATGCTACTGTCAGGTGGTAAAGGGCCAGATGGCAACGAAGCGGAACACTGACTTCGTTTTTAAAAACAGAACACTATATTTAGGCCTATCTCGAATTCTATCAGACATAACTTCCGGAACAATCGACCATATTGAATTCGTTACTAAAGACTTCATAATATTTATTTAAGGACGCCTTATGGAAGTGGTTCCTGTAATTGTAAACACCAGACAGTTTTTTTCTTCTTTCAATTTTCACGATGGCAACAATTGATTTGTCGGTACAGCAAAACGTTTCTGTAGGGTTATTTATTTATGTGATCGCCACATACTTGCCTGTTATGTTGATGACGATAATAGGAAACTTCATTGTTATACTCAGTGTGTATCGGAAACGTCAAAAAACTCCGGGCATGATCTTCATCTCATCCTTAGCAATCGTTGATTTCTTAACTGGTTTGGTTGGAGTTCCTCTCTCTATGGTTGCAGGCCTTGTTCGTAGACAGTTCCTTTATAGGAATAACTGTGCGATATGGTATTATATGCCCGCCACAATATTTATTTATATCTCCGTGGTGAATCTGCTCGCGATAACTATTGAGCGATTTCTTGCGATTAAATATCCTCTTCGATACCATGTATGGATGTCAGTTGAAAAGGCAATTAAAATTTCAATATGTGTTGATTTGTTTGGGGTTGTTTTAGCAGGAAGTCCATTTGCAATAGGTGCTGTTGCAAGCCTTTTCGTGCCCCCACCTAATGTGACGTATGAATATGATTGCGGGAGCTCTGCCACTTATGAAATGTACGGAACACCTGTGGCGTATTTCGTCCAAGGACCGCTTGCCGGCCTTTCAATTCCTATCATGTTCATACTGTACGCGCATATTTTCTTTGCGTTAAAAAAAGCAAATAAGACTGCCTCACGCCACGAGAAGAAGGTTAGTAAACGAGAGATGAAACTGGCCAAGACAACAGCCATAGTACTTTTGGTTTACACTCTGTGTATTGCACCAAGTGCCCTTAAAATCATTATTCGCAATCTCATTGATAATGGTTCTACCTGGCTGGTGTGGTACTTGTGGTTAGCAGATTTTCTCGTCGTTGCTAACTCGATGATGAATCCGTTAATTTATGCAGGAAGAAGTCAAGTAAGAAGAAAAGAATTAAAAGAAACATTTTACTTCATAATCTGCAAGGTTTCATCTGGATCAGAAATAAAAGCGAAATATGACTCAGAGGCGTCCTGAAGATGTGTCAGCATCGTCAGAATCTAACTTTTCAACTTGCTTCACACTAGTGCGTCGTCGGCAAGCACTGACGAGAGTGTTGTGCAAATTTTAGTGAAGAATTAGATAACGTCACGCACTTATAGAAGAATTAAGTTGTTCTGCCAAGTAAAATGGCCGAAACTCAGCATAGTTAATAGCATGATTCTTAGTACGTCATCGGCAAGCCTTGGTAAATATTCAGTGATGTTGTATTAAAAGGAACACGAAAAGGCGTAGTATTTTGTGATAGACAAGCAAATTGGCCGAAAACCATCATTCTTGGCAGATTGTTCGTGACAAAAAATTTTGTCACTTTTAAGGATTCACTCCAGTAACCTGGTTGGAAGGCAAGCATATTAATCACACATCTACAGCTCCACTAATGAAAATGGTGGTATACCTATGTTGTTGAATTACCTTGCGCGTACCAAGAATGTTTAAAAATGCTGGCAACTTTTTTTTTTAGTAGCAACAACATTTTGGTGACACGGTGACCCAATGCATCAGGTATCAATAGCTCCAAGCTGAAATCGATGGGACGCTTTGCTGTTTATTTAATTTTTTTTCTTGCCCTGTTTTTCTCGTTTTCCTGCTTGACATTTTTTATGATTCCTTACTTATGTATTTTCTACCATTAAAATGACAGCCCCGAAACCTAGATAGAGAAATACCAGGATGATGTTCGGCGGGAGTTTATTACCCGGACCGTAGTAGGCCTATTTAAGAGTTTATAAATAAGTCCATTTTTATACTGGCCCCGTACCTTTACCAGGATCCGTGGCTTTACCAAAGAAAAACCATACCAGGATGGTGATAGTTTATTACCATAATAAATAGTTTACAGTTTTAGTCAAACCTTCTTGTATATTTGACCACGGAATCTCTCAGAAATTCCGGGTTGTTGTGCGGCAGGGGATAGATTACCAATTGAAAGCGCCTGGTGCGGACCTGTAGGCCTAATCCTCTAGAGTGTAGATGATATAATAATTATATGTATAGAGTACGTATCACCGTGGATTTATATAATGTTAACTTACCGTACTCTTTAGGCCTAAATTTTTATTGTATTTTAGTGTAGATGTATCTCCCTGGTTTGAATAGGCGGCCCGCAGGCCAAATTGGCCCGTGAAGTAAAAACTTCATCCGACATGTTTAAGTATTGCAGAATCCTGATGCCTGATTTAGGCCTATAACCCATGGTGGAAGAAGCTCATTGTTAAATCATAGAGTAAACGAAACTAAATGTAAGTTACTGTATTTTGGGTTTTCGTCAATAAAAGCCTACTTATTTTACATGACCGATGAACCAAAGAACAGTGCTTATAAAAATACATTTCGATTGTCCTGCAAATAATTCAAACCATAAAGGACTCTTCACTCTTAGAAAAAGGGGTGCTTTATAGAGAGGTTTCGGGTGCCTGAATAAAGACTAGTTCAAGTGAAATGTTTTGCTAGAATTAATCTAATAATAATAATAATAATAATAATAGTGTAGTTTTATATAGCGCACATATCCATCTAATGTAAGATGCTCAGGGCGCTTGATATGTGGACTAGGAACTCGATCAATGACTTTCTTCGCCCCTAAGTGTCCCTTCGTGTCTGTGCTACCCGGTAACCCGGTACCAGCAACTCTCGTCGTCCACCACAGGGGCTGTCTGTTCCAGTACATCGGGGTATCCCCCTACTCGTCTCGAAGGATGTAGTGGGTTCTTTATAGTGCACACGAGCCATTGTATACACTGGGCCTACGGTTTATAGTCCTTATCCGAGAAGACTTGTTCTACCACCAGAACCATAGGCGAGCGTGCCGTTCGAACCAGCGCCGATATTATGACTATAGCTTGCGGCGCCCCTGCTAACCACTCGGCCATTCGCTCGCTAATCTTCGCTCGCTAATCTTCTAGTCATCTAAAGATAAAACTATCCCTCGAGCGGCGGACACCATCCCAGTTTTTCTGACTCTAGGTTTCGGGGCCGGAAGATTATTACCGTATTTACGTGGGGAATTAGATCATGATAAATAGGCCTAAGCTATTGATACTTTAACTTCAATAAGCTGAATGTGCAAATTTTGGTACTAATAAAGATACAGTAAATAAATTTATAAATTTCTCGCCAATTAACAGACGTATAAAAAATATCGCTTGTATTCTTTTACCAGACCCTAATTGACTGGTAATTAGTGTGAAGATGTGTGTAGCTAAAGTTTGAATCGGGGAAAACATGTTGGTTTTATTTGTTTACGTTATAATGGAGAACTTGTTTGATCCGTATAAATGAGATATGAAAACATTATATTGAATGTTTTACTAATAAGCATAACACTTCATTATACTTCATATTATTATATCCATTCCGGTTAAAAAAATATATAATTAGACAGCTTAGGGTGGGTACTACTACATTTAGACGAGGTTGACTGGTTTGTTTTTTCTAAAGTCAGGTCGTTTAATTTTGTTTTAAAAAAAGAGGTTGCGTCAGAGAAAGTTGGTTTACAAAGGATAATGAGTTGTAAATTATTGGTCCGGCCGGCTCGGCCCCCTTGAATCTGCGACTGAAATACTCATCATCATTTTTTTTTTCAATTTATCCTGGTAATCATAATCATGCCCACTTTAATACTTAATTCATCATTATCATGACAGGGGCGGATCCAGAAATTTTCTGACGGGGGTGGGGGAAGGGAAATAGGTAGAAGACACCCACCCATCCCCACCATTGTTGGGGCTGAGGTGAGCAAATTTTAAGAATATGCCCTTCTAGACGCTCGGAAATGGCACTCTCATATAGTAAAAATGCTTTTTCAAAGAAGCTTTCTCGACAAAATTATTGACTTTCCCAGGGAAGGATAAATATAATATATGTCCTACAGTCAATGTCAGAGACATTATGCTGCTATGTATAAACAAAGCCCTTTTATATCAGGGTGCTATAGAGCGAGGATCCTTGGGTAAGTCACACAGCAGGGACCCCGAAGTGTCGGTGGCCCTGCGGACCACCGCACGAGAGTGCATACGCGTTACGCCACTAAGCATGGATAGCTGTTCAGCTGGGTACACTCCGTTAATGCGGCTAAAAAAGCCCGTCTTGGTCTCCGTCTTTTGGCATATTTTACATCCTGGTTTATGAATATAAAATCGTTGTCGGGAAACAAAATCATGTTTGCCGTCAATCAATATAAAATTCAAAATTAGTGAGTGGTAAAATAATCGAGCTCTCCTTTCGCGCACTGCTGTGACCGCCAGTAGCACATGGATACTCTTCCTTCCCCCCCCCCCCCCGTTTGATCAGCCCCTTTATGATGTCACGACGAGATTGTGTCAAGTACCATTGGAGTTCGTAAACTTGTGGTATCACTAGGCCTACTTAATAAGTCGAAATAGATAGACCTATCCGCTCAAAAGCTGTATAATTTTTGTTTAATAATAGCTAATAAAATTTAATTGACTATCTATAATTCTAACAAAATGCATGAGTCATTCGTTGTTATTGTTCTTTCCACTCGCTTCGAAAAGTGGGGGTATTAACTAATAGAAGATTGGTGAAAAGTGGGGTGGGGGCAATTGATATGATGTATACCCATACTTTGAAAAATGGGGGGACGTATTCCCCCTGTCCTCCACTGATCGACGCCCATGTTTGCAGGACAATCGAAATGTACTTTTATGAGCACTGTTCTTTGGTTTACTAACTGTTTAATATCATGTAAGTATACGAATGTTATCGACGATGAACGTATTGCAAAATAACCGTAACCTAAATAACCTAAATTTAGTTGTGTTCACCTGGACGATTCAACAATGGTCTTCTGCCATGTCTCAAACTAACCATCTCGCATCGTGCGGGATGGTCCCGCATTTCAAAGTGATTTTGGGTGAAACACGCATTTTGCTGAAATGCGTGATCCTAAATTTGTCACGCATTTAACACAAGTCTATGCGTGATAACGATTTATCACAAATTCAGGGGAAAATGTATTGAAAATTAGAAGAAATTGGTTATATTAAAACTATAAAAACGGTGATGCAGTAACTTGAGTCATGAGAGAGTACACTATTTCCTTGAAGACCCTACTTATTTCAAACCACATAACATCATGACCAAACTACATAACATCATGACCAAACCATATAACATAATGAGAAACCACATAACATAGTGACCAAACCACATAACATAATGACCAAACCACATAACATAATGACCAAACCACATAACATAATGACCAAACCACATAACATAATGACCAAACCACATCCATAACGTCATGACCATTCCACATAACGTCATGGCGATTGTACATAAGAGTGTTTGCACATAACCGAAGATACTAACGGCGTTCCATATGAGACAGCATGCAAAAAACATGTGTTGATTTCGCGAGTGGTGGGCTTAGTCAGCTTGGGTAATGTAATGTAAGTGAGTTTACCCATTTAAGACTTCGAATTTTTGAAATGATTTATGACTAAGTTATATTTACAGATTAATAATTAGGCAAATATTACTTTGAGCGGTGTAATAGTTGAACTAAGCGGATAGGCCTAGCTAGGCGCTAGGCCCAAACAAATTGTTAACTCGGCGGTGAGTGACGGTTGGGGCCGACAATCGGTCAACTATTGTGGCTGATTGGGTCCACTTTATGAACGGCTCAATCCTCTTGAAAATGGACCTAGTCGTCTACAACGTTACTAGGTTAGATGGGTACAATTATTTTAATTACGAAGTTATTTAATAAATTTTAAAAAGTAGGTTCTCCTGACTGATGATTAATAAAGTTTGTTCATATGCTACTATTATATTAAAACAGCATGATGGAAGAAGATTTTCCTCGAGGTAAAGTTAAAAAGAAGAGTGTGAAATCTGAAGCACCAGAGCATGTGAAGCCAGTTCATCATAAACAATCTGATTCTAAAGATGTACTGTTCAAGGTAAATTGTAATATCTGATCTGCTGAATGAATTTCAGAATACACATGAATCACTATCTATATGGGTGTTAGACCTAGGCCCATGTCTAATCACTATTTTTCATTGTACTCGGCATTCAGCGTAATTCAGAATTTGTGTAAGTGCTACATATATGTAGTTGGATAAGAGAGAGGAGCATACAATTAGATTGCATGATTAATATTTCTTTAATTTTTTTCTTTATTTTAGGATGCAAAACTTGGTCCAGAAAAGAAAAAGAAGGCAAGGAAAAGAAAATCTGAAAAGAAGGTGGAAGATGAAGTATCAAAGAAACAGCACAGGGAAGATGAAGACAGTTCAGCACTGCTTTCTACAAAAGATATCATTAAACATTTATCAATTAGGGTAAATTTTAGCTTTTCCAAATATCAATTACTTCTTTTCTTTCATGTTGTTGGTTTGTTGGGACAGATTTGTCTTATATTTGTTTTATTTTATTTATGTAATACAAATTTATCATAATATATAAAGTAATCTTTTTCCAAACACTGAACATTAAAATATGTAAAATATGCACCTGTTTAGGTATTTAACTAAAAAAATAATACACAAAAATGTACATTAATTCATTTAAATAATTGGCCTCTTACATAGCTAATTTTGATCATTCATGATTTTTGTATTTTATTTTTATAATGCTATTTGCTCATTTATCTAATCAAACATTTTACACATGTAATTGCCATTGAATGAAATCTATGACAAATAACTATGATAGATTGCTATATTCTGTGTAAGTTACCTCTGACTAAGTTCTACTAGTTAATCCACAACATCTTATTTTTTGTAATATTTTGTATATCTTTTCAGACATTAACTGATGAGACATTGTTACTTGGTGCCGTAAGGGAAATCCATGATATTGAGTTGGTTATTAGCCTTCCCAATAATCTCCATGGTTACGTGCAGATAACGGATATTAACGATAAATATACTGAACGAATTCGAGAAGAGCAACAAAAGGAAACAAAAGAGGTGGAGAGTGAAGATGATGACAACAATGATGAACAACAGGTAAGTTTTTCCTTCTAAATGTTCAAACTAAATATATTTTTATATTTCATTTTTTTTTACTAATTTCTTTGGTTATTTTTTCAATATTTTAGGAGCTTCCGACACTTCATGAGGCATTCAGTATTGGAGACATTGTCATCTGCAGAGTTAAAGAGTTGGTCATGGTCAAAGGTCATTCAAGAATTCTTCTGACGCTTAATCCTGCAGACATCACCACCCACCTGTCTGCAGACAATTTGAAAGAATCAATGGTGATTTTTATTTTATTTAATTATTTAATTTTCATACTTTTTACATGCTATTAAAGGGATGGTTTTTTTTTAAAGGGATTATAATAAATTTCTTCCTTTCACTTTCTAAGATTTATACCCCATTCAGACTAGCATTGCTATCGGTTGTAGCAATTGCAACACCCAGTCGCACCCAATTGCAATTCACAATCGTGTGTGAAAGCTCACCAATAATATTCAATAAGTAATCGATATCTCAATTGTTACTCGTTGCGATTAGGTGCTACAATCTTTATTACTCCCATTTACCATGGAATACGATTGCAACAAATTCCACAGGTACTAATTGGCTGAGGTCATTCAACATTGGTCGAACCATCAGATGTTTGTACCGTTTGACGTCCTGTTCCAATATAAAGTTTTTTGTGTTTGATTTGGTGTGAATGTGCTTGTTGGTTGCAATCGGGAATAATCGGTTTTCGATTACCACTGACTACATCACAACCAATCACAAAGAAGTGTAGTCTGAATAGGGTATTACTTGGTACTAACAATTGCCGTCCCTTGTTAATGAATTTTTGGCAGTCATTGATGTTTTTGTTTCAGTTATTATTGAAATGTTTCTTACACATTTCTATAGGTGTTGCCAGGAAGTGTATCCAGCATAGAGGATCATGGGTTCATGGTGGACGTTGGCATTAGTGGCATCAAGGCATTTCTACAAACCAAGGATGCTAATCAGTTCATTCACAATCAAAACCAAGGTAAAATGATTTGCATAAATTTGCATAAGCACATGCAATTAAAGTGTAGGATAAAAGCCTGGTGTTTTTAAAACCTTTGAGCTAAAAAACTTAAAATCATAATGATAATTAAAATCAATAATAATGATGATAAATACAATCTTACCATCTGATATTAATTATGTTCAGTTATAGATATGGAAATAATTGAAGATACATTTGTAGAAATATTTTGCAATACTTTTTACACTTTTTATATCTTCATCCTCCATCCCACTCTTACCCTTTTCAGGCAAGAATTTATTCATTGGGCAGTTACTTCAGTGCATTATTAAGGAAACCAAATCTAACGGCAGATCATTACTCATAACAATCAATCGCAAATCTATCCAAAAATCACAAGCTCAGTCGGAGACCCACACCACACTTCAAAGTTTCATGCCTGGAACGCGTTTGGAGGCCACTATCACATATGTAGGTGAGAGTTACCTTGGCGCTGTTGTTCATTCCACATTCAAAGCCTCCATCATGGAATTACACCTGAAAGATTTGGCACAATCTACAAGTGACTATAGGATATCTGATACGGTAAGACAGAGATGGACTTGTCTTTGATCTACAATATTAGATCAGGGAGATGTATCCCTGATTAGATTAGGTGTTAATAGTAAAACAACTCAGATCCAATTGAGGCATAAACAGTAAATTGTAAGTTTTACAAAATTCAATCCCACGCTACACATCTCTTTTGCAGGTATCGGCATGTGTCCTGTTCAATTGTCCAGTCACCAAGACGCTTGGTTTGACCCTCAAGTCTGAGTTCTCAGACCCAACTGCTAAGCTAAAGAAGAGTTTATTTGGTGGTCTAGCAATCGGCGATTTTGCAGACAAGGCTAAAGTACGAAGTGTTAAGCAGAAAAGAGGGGTACTTGTTGACCTGAAGAAAGATGTTCAAGGATTGCTGATGGTAAGGGCTATGAATCAATCAATCAATCAATCAATAGTTTGACACAGAGTCTCCTTGCATTGAGTAGTCTGAAAATATAGTCATAGTCTGTGAAAATATTGCATTTTAAAATGACTTATCTATCAATTTCTGATAATATAAGAGTAATATAGAAAAATAAATGTATGTTAACTGTTTAAAAAATAAAAGCATACCTTAAGATGTTAAGGTTAGAAGTAATGGAAAGAGAAGGATGTATAAGAAAAGTGTCACTAGTTAGGTAAAAGAGATAACGCAGAAATGTGTTATAAAAAAATCATCCTATCTGCGTGACATGACAAGGATTATGCTCCAATTTGTAGAGAAGAGATTTTTGCGTTTATGTAGCTATTGACCAGGTGTATTAAATTAGGACTGCGATCTAGATAAAATAATGCATTATCAAAATAATCTATTACTCTTTAATTATTTTATTTTATTTATCAGGCTACTCAGGTTGATGACAAAGAGGTAACCAACCTAGAGGAGACATTTAAGGAAGGTCAGGTCATTAAATGTCGTATTACAGATTTTAACTTTATCGACAACCTGGCTCTTGTGTCGATGAAGGCCGCCACTTTGGCTGAACGTTACTTACACTTAAAGGATGTGGAACCAGGTGATAGAGTAAAGGTGTGTGTTGGTGAAATTTTGTTGTTGAATGTCAAAGCTATGGAAACATTAATAATGCTTTGTAAATAAAACATCCCTTGAAAATAATAGAATGTTCCATCCCAGGGCATCGCATGTCTATGGTAACCACCACTTCGGCATCCTTGTTTCATTATTGCTATTACGAATTTGTGTAGTTTACAGTTAAGGTTAAACAATTGCTCATGTAAGTTTGAATGCTACTCCAAAATATGGGTACAACTTTGAATATAGACCACTTTGTCAAATGAATATTTGGGTGTTTTATGAATGTGAAATAGGTCTTCTCTGTGATGTCACTAATTTTTATGCCTATTGTATTGCTCCTAGGGAACCATTACAGCTGTACAAGAAAATGGCTTACAGGTAAAGATCAGTGCCCACATCAAAGGATTTGTACCCAGAAGTCATCTGGCTGATGTACCCATCCAGAACCCGCATAAGATATTTAGCGAGACGGATAAAATTGCTCTTAGGGTAAGCAAGTACTTTTTGTATATTTTTCGTACATAATAAATTATTAAACTATTAAAATTTAATATTGATTGAAGGTCTGCATTCTGAAGTAATAATAAGTGCTTGAAGTACACCACATAGATACTTCTGAAAAGAACAGTTTATTGGTTTGTAGTGTCTTCTATTTAAAATCAAATCTATTACTTGACAGAAAAATTTACTAAGTTTAATTTCAGGCGTAATGGGTGGAGTTTTGTTTGTAGTTGTGAAAAGTATTTTATAGGATTAAACCCAAGATTCTTAAACACTAAAATGAGGCTCCAATCTATATAGAAATATGTTTGTGACATTGTACATAACGGTTCCAATTGCTTACATGTACAAACTTAACATTAATGTGACAAATATATAGATATAATTATCTCATTATCTATATCTATTCCCTAGGTAATCCATGTGAGTCCGCAACAAAACCGTCTTATACTTACACACAAGAAGACCTTAGTCAAGTCCAAGCTGAACATTATCAGTGACTACAGCCAGTTTGAAGAAGGCATGTATGTTCATGGAACGATCGTATCAATCAAGAAGTTTGGCTGTGTTGTCATGTTCTGCAATGGAGTTAAAGGTCAGTGAACATGTTTTTTTGTGAAAATTTAAAACTCTTAAATCAATTGAACAATTAATGTTTAATACAACATACAAGAAATTTTATTAGTCGTCCATATAAAAACATACAATGAAATGTTGGTTGTACCGCTTTTTGAACTAAAACAATTAAAAAAGACAAAATTCAAATTGCAAAAAACATATAATGCACCAAAAACAGCAAGACCCAGTAAACTAAACATTAAAACTCATATAAACAACTGCAATCTAAAGTTAAGAGTTAAAATTTAGTGTTAAAAGGGGGTGGTGATATGTGAATAGAGTTTAGCACAAATACGTGGTGGGCAGAGTCTGATTCCATCTGTTCAAGCTGTAACAACTCTGTAGGGGATGTGTAAGATCATTCATAATTTTATGTATGTAAATAATTTTTTTTACAATAACATGGCTCTCCACTTGCAATCAAAACTGTCTAGTCGTGTCGTTAGCCTTGAGCATCCATACTACAAAAAAAGGTTTTAGCACGATCAGCATCAGCACAATTTAGAAAATTTATAATAATGTGAACTATTGTCATAGATGGTTTGTCTAATTTCCAATACTTTATTCTATTAACAGTAGGTTTTTGTTTTGTACATACATTATTATTTTATTTGTCTTAATAATTTTTTCTATATCTGAATGGTTAACATTCCAAACCTTTTTTAAATGCTTACAGGTTTGATTCCAAGGTCAGAGTTAGCTAATGAGCGTATTGAGTTCCCTGAGAAGATATTTTATGTGGGACAAGTTGTTAAATGTCGGGTGATAAAGACGCACGAACCGTCAATGAAACGTGTTATATTGTCGCTACGAAGTGATAAAGACAGACCAAGAAGGGAGAAAAAAGTGAAGACTGAGCCAAAAGTTGCAGTTGGAAAAGTAAAGTAGTATTTTTTTACCCTCTGTCTATTTATTGATTTGTTTGTTTGTTTTTGTGTTTGTTTATTTGGAGATCTTGGTGGTTCCATCTTCTTAGTTCTTGATTTTTATTCAGCTTTAAGCACTAGAGCCAAGGATATACCAAACACTGAACTTAATCACTCCTTAAAGTGGCAATCCCATCACAATACAAACATACACAATGATGCTTTACATAAACTAAGTCTCATTATATGGGTTAGGTAGTGGAGAAAAAAATCCTGTAACCATGACAGGAATTGAACCCAATACTCTGGTATTGGAAAACAAGCATCTTAACCACCAAGTGGTTCATCTCCACTCCAAAGTTCTATCCCATTAAGTTATTCCCACAGTGAAATAATGGTTATTAACTGTGAAATCCTGGTTATTGCACACCATATTTTGGTAGGGACTTAAACCGTAGGTCCCATGAACAACACTACGCACACTCTTCAGAGACGAGAAGAGATTGTCTTCCATTGCCCTGCCCAATTTAGTACTCTGTAGTCATAGCTGCCATGCATCCTCAGAAGACCAGGCTGAATTTCCTATCCTAGGAACTTGAGTAGAACAATGGAGGAACCATGGACTATTACTATAACAGGTCTCTCTCCAATTAAAGACCCTCCAAAGAAAGACCACTTTTCTGTGGTCCTATATTCACAAATGTCTTTTATTTTTATTATTCTAATTAGTGACCAAAGCTGCTAAAGAACATGTAAAACCCCAGTCCCAATAGTGGTCTTTAATTGGAAGGAGACCTGTAAATATTGAGATTACACATTGAACATATTAACAATGTTGATGTTTTTATTGTAGGTTTATTTATATAAACTCTTTTTCATCTTCAGATCATGAAAGTAACAGTTATATCAGCTACTCCTGATGGCTTAAATGTCAAAATGGAGACTGAGGAAGAGGCTGTCATTCCCACAATGCATCTGTCAGATTATACTATGAACTGTGACCTAATTCTGACTGCAGCTAGCCCAGGAGATGAGATGGAGGCGATGATGTTCAACAACAAAGGCCCCAAAGGCCAACAAGTATCCTTGTATGTGGTGGCTGCAGTAATGCAAGCCTGAACAGACATTGGCACTAAAAAACGTTTTCAGGATCGAGCTTAGCTCCTTCCCTCATGAGCATTGGGAATTAAATATATTTTTGTTATTTTCTGTCTTTCCATATGTGTGACACATCTTTCAACCAGGGAATATACAGGTTCAACAGTAGGTCCATTTGTATTTCCTCCATGGATGTTACTTTGTAAATAAATATTCAGTTTCTTAGAATCTAGAGTAGATTTGTTTACAAAGGGCAGAAGGCAGGTTGTTCATAATTTTGGTCCATATTTTTTTTTAAAGCAGGATTGAAGGCTGGTTTTAGTAAGGGGAAGGGGTGCAAAACAGCCTGGGGTGGAGATGCAAAAATTTAGAATCCCTACTTTAATGAACATAATGGGTTATTTTCGAATTTAACCCACTTAGTGGAACTAATTTTTTTGGGATGTTCCTGCGTGTATAGAACCTATCTTTTGTTGTTTGTTCAAACCTCTTTACATGCATCTAGTGTTGAAAGCTAAGAAACTTCCTGGGGTGTCTGTCAAACAAAACAACTTGCCAATGATGGCAGGGCCAGGAATACATGCTTTTCTCCCAAACGTATTTGTTGTCCCATAAACGCACACGTTTACATACATTTACGCTGTCAATTTTGGGCAACTTTAGCGGGGTTCCCAAGTCTCCCGGAAGTTGCTGGAGTCCCCCGGAAATGGGGACGGCCTCACACACTCCTGCGAGCAAGCAACAATTTCCTTGAAAAATAACCCATCTCCCACAAATTCATGATATCTGCATGTTTTTACCAATTTATAATACTTTATTATCAATTGTCTCCCGGATGTCAGTGCCAATGAGTATCACCATCCACAGCAGAGTATTATTTAGATGCTCATTGAAACAGATCTCCTGAATGGGGATTCTTCCAACATGGGACCCCTGCCTTAGCAAAAATATCCAAGGTGCAGTGCTTAGTGGAAAGGTCAGATAGCTAAGGAATGACCAGCACACTGAATTGACACAGCATAATTGTATTTTTTGACCTGCTATGAATTTGTTAACCTTTATTAATATATATTTGCTAAAAATCTTTAATGTATAAATCATCAGATACTGACTTGTAAACCTTCTCTGATTGGAGTGTCCAACTCAGGGGAAATACTCAAGGACTTCAGTGAACTGAATCCAGGAATGGAGATGGTAGGCTGTCTCCGTAATATCATGCCTTATGGCTTGTTTGTAGAGTTCCTGAACAACCTAGTGGGCCTAGCACCGCTTAAGGTAAAAAGCCATTAAATTATGTTTTTCCGTTATTTTACCTGCAGTCAATGGGTCTAAAATATAGATTAGCAAATCACAGGTTGGAAACCACAGGATGTTATATTTTTAACATGCATTTTTGTGTCGACAAGTTGATTGTCCAATGGCTCGTGTGCAATATGAAGAACCCAGTACATCATTCGAGACGAGTAGGAGGATACCCCGTGTACTGGTACAGACAGCCCCAGTGATGGATGATAAGAGTTGCTGGTACAGGTTGTCCGGGTGGCATATACATGAAGGGAACCCCTAGGGGAATGAAAGTCACTGCACAAGTTAATATTCCATATCAAGTGCCATGAGTATCTTGTTTGATGGATGCCTGTGCTATACAAGTCTACACTTTATCATTAATAAATGTACCTTGAATTTAACTTTAAATAGATTTTTGAATAAAACGATAACTACAGAAAATTCTTTTTGTTTCAATAAAGGATATTAGTGATTCGTACACATTGGATCCCTCTAAGCTGTTTGCTATTGGTCAGACCCTACATGCCCATGTCAAAGAGGTCAACGAGGAGAAGGAACGCTTTTTGGTGAGCTTAAGGCCTTCGGAGGTGTCCATGGATATCACAGCATTGGATCTTCTTCGAGGCTTTTTGAAAGAACAGAGGAAAATCCTGAAGAAGTTAAAAAGTGCTGAAAGTGAGTGATATTCTCCGGTTAATGATGAGGAATATAATGATAATGAAAATGGTTGTGGTAGTCCAAATTTGCTAGTTGTATATATATAATAAATGTGGGTTGAAGGGATGCAATTTTGTTTCTAATGTAAAATGATTTTGATATATTGCGTAGTGGTAAATAACTACTATAATAATAATAAATGTATATATAAATATAATTTTGTTTTGTGCTGACCAAAATATTTATATATTTCTTACTTCAGAGCATAAAGTTTTATCTGGCATGACAGTGGGAAGCATTGTCACTGCAACTCTCAAAGAAATTCAGAAAGGTGGCTTTCTATGCCAGCTGGATGGAAACATTTCTGCTGTGGTCACAAGAGGTCACTGTCCAGCCCAGCATGACCATCAACCGGGCGACAATGTTGAGGCGGTCATTCTTCATGTGGACATCCCCAGTGAAGTAGTTGAGCTGTCCATGAAGCAGAAATTAGTAGCCTTTGCACAGACTTTAGAAAAGAAAAAGTTGGTAAGGATAATATATACTGCCCTCTCTTGTCCATTTTAATTTTTGAAATTCTATTTTTAGAACTCTACAATTTTGTTTAATTTTGTTTTTGATTATAATTTTGAGATAAAATATTCAAACTGTGTAAAGGTTATGGTGAGGGAATGCTTTGGACAGGAAGATAACATTTCCTGTGTCTCTGGCTTTCAGTCCTGTTGGGCCTCAACCATGAGGTTAAGTTTACTCCCAAGAGTCCTGCCAGGCCTATAGCCAGGTTCTTTCAAGGGAGTGGGGATTTTCTGGGCGGGAGGTCCACAGTCGAAGCCCCGGTGGGATCGGCGAAACCCCCAAAGCAAGAAGATTTTTGTGCTTTATAGGTCTAAATAATGCTATAAAAGCAGATATGTTTGAAAATGTCTGTGTCTGGGTGGGTCTGCAGTGCATTAGTTGGGGTTGGAGGACTTATTTTGGAAATTTAAAGAGGGGGTTTCGCCAGAAAAGAGGGGGTTTGCTAGAAAAGTGGGGTTCTCCCGAACCATAAAAACCCCCTGGATACGGGCCTGCCTGCAGTCTTGGCACTTCCAGCAAAATGTGAATAGAAGATTTTTATAAAAATGTTATATTCCTATCATCATTCTGTTTGGTTATAATAGAATATGAAGTAAACCCACAATTATTTGTACTTAAGAGGATATGATTAACGTGCCCAACAATACCTAGCACAGTAGCTAACCAGAAGGACGTTCACTCCATGTGAAGTATCTGATCATGGAAATGACCTCCATTTTCTTATGATAATTTGGCATTATTATCTATTCTATTAGTGAAAAAATTCATATTCCTATAGTACATTGATGAAGGAGGTTTACAAAACCAAATCTTTGCAGTCCTCCAAAAATATTTTGCGACCCATAATTGGGTCGTGGCCCATTGTGTGCGGACCGTCATTTTAGATAACTAGGACCAGTACAAATGAACAGAAACATACAAAACTCCTCTGCATATCCTTTTACAGTACAGTACAACCTTGGTTTTATTTGTAGGCCTAGGCCTACAGTTGTACGTTAAGGCCCAGGCAACATCGTAGGTATTAGGTCAGAGGTCACCACAAATTTAACCCAACCTTAATTTTACGAATCTCCTGATTTACATACACTATCTGGTCCCGTAACGTATGTAAAATCGAGGTTCTACTGTAATGTGTTTTGTGTCCTGTCTATAATTAAGTCTTTCTGAAATTGACTCCACACTGTTCTGTCATATTATATTTTAACAACATTATAATACACTTTAAATATCAAGTGATTATTTATATTGCTTATTTTTTAAAGCTGAAATTATTTCCAAGTACAATTTTTTTCAGAAGTAAGTTCCTCAAATAGTTTGTGTAACCTATTTACCACTTCAAAGAAGACTTTTTTCAATATTTATTTAACCTGCAGTAACCTAATCCAGGGAAGTGTTTTTCTAGTTAAAGGCTTGGTGTCACTTTTCATCTGAGAGTAACAGCTAGGGTACCTTTTGCATACGAGACAGACTCGGAGGAATGCAAAATCGTAACTACATTTTAAAAAAATTTGAAATTTAATCAAGATTGATGATAATAGTTAAGAACAATTTGGTATGAATGTCAATAAGGTATTTGCATTCGGATCAACACTATTAGAAAAAAAAGCAGGCTTACATAAGAACATGAAAGTCCATTCAACTACAGCAAAGCTTAAAAAACAAACCAAACTAAAGATCTGTCAAGACTCTGAAATTATATTTGACAAAAAAAAAACTGTTATATGCCCATATATAGTCATGATGTGCCCATATATAGTCATGATGTGCCCATATATAGTCATGATGTGCCTATATATGGTCACGACGTGATGTCATCATGACCATATTTAAGAATGTCCCATGTTTTTGTCAAATAAAATATAATACTAGTCTGTACAAGGTTTTAGGGTCCTACTGTAGGTTCATATCCTTCCTAAACCAGTATTTTTTTTTTCTCATCACTAAAAAAAAAAAGAAAACATTCCCCTGAACCCTGTTCCAACCAGCCAAATACTGGTCAGTACAAACAGCCTTTGAGACAATCCTCTTGGCAGTAAGTTTAATTTGGTGAATTTGTACCCAGCATGATTAACCAGGCTGTTTTGTGAGCACTATTTTGTGTATTAGAAAATTTAATTGCACGTTTGTGCATCCAAAAATTTTAACTCTACATTTGAAAGCGCAATAATGATTTACTTTGTTTCAATAATTAGAACATTAAGAAAAAATGAAAACAGTAATGTTAAGCAACTATTTTAGTAATATGCCTATTGCAAGCTTATAGAAGGGAATTAAATATTTCACGAAAAGAAGAATATTTAGAGAATATGCAAAGTACATGAAAACAGGAGCTAACAATATTAGGACAGGTTGTAGACCTATATAGTATACAATCTGTAGGAGTTAGGAATGTTGAATATTTCTTAGCTTAAAATGCTGGGAATTCACAAGATTCAGTCAACTGTCTCCCATCAAATAATGAAATTTCCCAAATCATGCAAAATGTCATGTAAAATTCAAGCATTGGCCATGGCCTATGGCAATTGTTATTGTAAGCGTGAGGAGAGGTGTGTTAAACTCCTTTCATTTACAAAGTTTGTTATCAATCAACTCCACAGGTGGCAGCATAACACATTCTTGAATATCTCTACCATTATAAACAAGCTATCAATTATATTATTGAAAAATTCACCAGGATTCATTATGTAATATACTCAATGTTATTTATTTTTTTTTGATGATCCAAAAAAATGCTTACATGAATGAATTGGTGGATTACCAACGAAAAGTGTAAGTATACATTTCACTATAATCTTTGGATCATCAAAAAAGAAAATACTATATCATTGAATATATCAATTATATATTTATTTCAAAAATAACAATAAAAAATTGACAATTAATGATAAAATATATAATGCATGGATTTTCTAAAAGTATTTTTCATGTCATTTGTACTAAGTAAAGGGAGTACATATCATTGCCATAACTTCCATTAGCTTTATTTGTGTAATCAGGGGAAGCTCATACTGTTTTTGTTTATTTACAATAGCGGCGGTATTCTACTGATGACACTAGGCCTACATTTACATTGATAGGTACGATAATAATTATACTGCATCCTCTTTCGGTTTTGAATCAATAGGCGTGTTTCCCCAGCTGTTTAACAGCATACCGGTAACTCTATCTGGTGACTATTGGACATGTCCTATATATCTTATCAAAAAAGTGAATAACAAAATTAATAATAAATAAATAAGTGTACAGATTGAGGATAATGGTGGTTATAATGATGAGTACTATTTATACACCATTTTATGTAGTCTATTTTGAAACAGCGCCACCAATGTCTCGCAACTTTTTACTGGGGGACGTCCAGCAGTCTAACCTGAACAAATTACGTTTTTTCAGACACATTTTCTTTTGAATACTTTTACAACCAAAAACACTGCAGGTTTTATGCGCCCCTATTTTCTTTGTTTTTTTCTCTTTTTTGGCATTTTGTTTTCAATTACTTGTACTAGCCTAGGCCCCTACAACAACAAGGTCGTGCACAAGTCACAGAGCGCAGTAGACACTGGTAAATTCGTAGAGCGAAATCCTAGTCCCCCAGTTGTAGTTGCCTTGTTCTTGGAAATTTTCACTTCAAATTTAGCGGTGACAATTTTATATACTCACTGTTATCTGTACATTATTTAATTATATTTAAAATATAATAATTTTATATTTATTTTTGTTTTGTTGCTTGCTGTTTGTGTCTAGTTTAAATTCATGTTGATTACCCTTTATTTGTCTTCTTTTTTTAGGGCAAGATGGATGAGTTAAAGGTCAAAGTTGAACTTGTGAAAGAATGTTTCGCTCTTGCATCCACAGATGAGGGCACTCTTATATATCTACCAGTCAAGAAGGTATATAATTAGTGATTATAAATATTAAATAACTTGTAGTTGATAAGTACATACCTGTGTTTGTACTTGCTCTTATATAGTGAGTCAGTATTCCAATGAAAAAATGTAAATTCCCCAGTTTTTTTCTGTTTTTACACTCTATTTTATTTCTGTAAAAATTCACAGTATTTTTTTTGTTTACATTTTTAAAAAAGTTTAGTATTGTTGATGTCAAGACTAAAACAGAAGTTATAAAACATTTATTGTCGAGTTGTAATTTACAATTTTTTAATAAAGTACTAATACTGTAAATAAATAAAATATCAATTTTTCACCTAATACATTCCCAAGATGTATGTATCAGTTATACAGTAGATTCAATTCAAACATCTAGACTGATTTACACAGGATATACTACTTACAAAAGCATTGATAGAGAGAGGTTGGTTTAAAAAAATTTACGTTAATTTCAGCATTACAATGATGTTAGAATTGGTGCAGATCTTTTGAAATTTGGACAAACATGCAAGGTCAAGGTTCACGGGTAAGCCTGTTTCTAAGAAATTTTACACACACACCTACACACCCACCCACACACACACACACACACACTCTTATACACATCTAGATGTGTATAAGAGACAGGCTAGGTACAAGAGGCCCTGTCATATATATACGTTAGAATGACAGTTGTTTATTTGTCTTGTCTGGTTTACTGCACTTATACTTTGGTATAAGCATTAATCCTATACAACTGCAGCAGTTACATCTGTTGTACCAGTCTGATGGTGGAATAATCCCTGTCCCCTTAACATCTAATTATATTACGTTTGGTGTTGGGTTTATTTTCAGTAGCAAGAGATTTTTAAGCTGTATCATGGTTACAGACAATTTGCTAGCTAGGCATGAAAATGTTAGTTAGGCTAGGCCAGTAGCAATGTGCTGAAAATATTTTAATTATTATTTAATTTCAATGTGATTTATTTCATATTTTATAAACCATTCTTTAGAATTATTCTCTAAGGAAAACTTAAAAGAATTTCCAAATTTATGAAGTTAAAAGATGTATTGCAAGATAAATCATTTTTGAAATTAACTTGCCCATTTTGAAGTAACATATTATCAACGTAAAAAATTAGAAATTAGCGTACTTGTAAAAATGTTTACCCATAATTTTACAGCCAAAAATGATAAAAACACTTCCAGTCATTGGAAGTGTTCTAATATTTTTATTATAATTATCCTGTTTAAAAATCAGGGTACATATTTTTTTTGAAATACAATAATTTTTATGCTCAATTTAATTTATATGCTACTGCAAAATGAGTAAGTTAATTTCAAAATTTGTTTTTTTATGATATTTTTTTTGTCATTTTCACAGGACAATACATCTTTATTTAATCAGCGGACTTATGCCCTACTTGTGTATTTTGCATTAGATCAAAAGTTGTGGTGGCTTACGGTATAGCTGAACCTGAGCTTAATCTCATTTTAATACGTAGTACTTGGTCACCAAGCAAACATAATATAATGTGTAAAACATAAGTTGTATATATAATAATAATGTCGTTCTTATATAGCGCCTAATGCCTTAACAAAGCCTCTAAGCGCTTCACATTATTACCCCGGTCATTGGATCAAACACATATGGAACACATTAAACACTAAATGAAATTATTAAATTAAATTATATCACCATAATATTGCGGCTAGTAATCAGCGCAGTGTTGAAACCTACCAGGTACCCACTTGTACTCCTGGGTGGAGAGGGGCAACCGTAGATAAAGTGCCTTGCCCAAGGACACAAGCGATTTGCACAGCGAGAGTTTCGAACCCCCGACCCCGAGGTTGGGAGTCCAAGCCACAACCGATGCGCCAACCACTATAACCACACCTTATACTGAAAAGTTTGCTTTTAATATGCTATTCCCATCCAACATTTATAAGTGAACAATACCAATAAACAACATCCTGAAATGTGCAATGTTTGAGCCACTGAACTTGGTATTTTCGAAGGCATGCACTGTGTCCACTAAACCATGCATTGCATTATAAAACAGTGGGATTATTGAAAATACTGTATGACTTGCTATTCATGTAAAATCCTTAGCCTTTGGTAATTGTCTAACATAGTGAAAGTTCTGTCATGAACTTGTAAACATTATATGCACAACTATCCATATGTATATTCCTTAAAATTTGATAAAAGCCCTACATGTATCTGAGATTCACAAATATTGCCTTCCTCCTGTGATATTTCCTCATCTTTCCATAATTCCTCATTGAAGTCGTTAAGAAGGAACACATTCATTGGTTTTCTTAGTTTTAATCTAACTTTCTTTATCAAGCATTTAACAAGTGCTAAAATGATTACTACTGTAATGATAGATAAGAGAGATGTTATGACAATCTCCTTTGAACTCTTTTTTCTGATGTTTGATAGATGTGTGGTCTCTATGTTCCTGTTTTCTGTGGTCATTTCAATCACATTTCTGATGGTGCTCTGTTGATTTGATGTCACTGAGGTCTGTAGAATTCTGCTGACAATTGTTGATTTCTCTTCCATTATCCTATTAATTCTGGTTGTAGTTTTAATGTTAGGTGATGAACTGGAGAGATATAATGGAATTTCTTCAGTGTCAGTATTCCCCAAATCAGAAATTTGAGATGAGACCTTCACACTGATCGAAGAAAAATCTTCTGTTGTTTGATCTGAATTCACTGATGTGGAATGTCTTGTTTGGCTCACCTCTGTTGTAGGTGATGAACTGGAGAGATCTAATTGAATTTCTTCAGTGCCAGTATTCCCCATAACAGAAATGATTGTTGAGACTTCCACACTGACTGAAGAAAAATCTTCTGTTGTGTGATCTGAATCCACTGATGTGGAATGTCTTGTTTGGCTCACCTCTGTTGTACTAACTAAATCTGATGTTAAAATTGATATGGTTGATTTTTCCTTTGTGTTATCTTGGAATGAAACTGATGTCGTTGTAGTTGTTAGGAATTCTGATTGTGATGGTGTGTCTGTTAGCAGTTGTGTTTCTATTGTTGTCTTGATTGATTCAAATTCAGTTACAGTTTTTAAAACAGTTTGGGTTGCTTGTGTTTGAGGTACATGTGTTGCCATCACTGTAGAAAAGGAAGGAGTGGAAAACTCTTCTTTCTGTGGAATGACAAAGACAGAGATGGAAGCATTACTAACTCCCTCAGAGTTTATAGCCAAGCACATATAAGTTCCGTTATTGGCTTTACCAGCATCGCTGACATCAAGCAATGTGATCTCATGTGCGTAATCATATTTCCCAAATAATGCTTCACCATTTGGACCAATCCAGGTGACTCTTGGATGTGGAATTCCTGTAACAGAGCAGTTAAGAGTGACTGTACTCCCTTGAAGAACATCTAGATGATCAAAATGTGCTAATACAACAGGTTCAATACAATTACTTGACAGAATTGATGCATCGTGTGAAGGAATCTCGTTTATGGCTGAGTCTCCAGAATTGGAACAGTGGGTACTAATTTGGAGAATTGAACTGTTGGTTGTACCAGCGCTTGATTGTTCCTTTGTATAACAGTCACATACAATAGGGTTGAAGTTTAAATCTAAACTGTTCAAATTTGTAGTCAATTCCAGCAGAGCAACAGGAAATGTTTTCAGTTTATTATTAAGTAATTTGAGGTTTCTTAAGTGAGGTAGACAGTCTGTTGTAGTTGGTAATATTAAATTTTCAATATGATTTTCTGACAATAATATTTTCTTAATCGACTGTGGAAAAATGGTCAAATCTACAACTTCAAGTTCGTTCCCTGCTAAATTCACTTCTTCCAAAGATGGCAGCCCTCGAAACGAATCCGAGTTTAAAGACGCGATATGATTGAAAGATATGTCCAGATTTATAAGCTTAATAGGTTGTCCTGTTTTAAGTCCACCTATTTGCGTGAAGTTATTTGCATAGACTGAAAGGAACTCCAGGTTTGAGGGCAGTGTTCTCAGAAGTTGCTGGAAGTTTGCCATATTATTTATATTGATAAATAAGTGAGTAAGGTTTAAGTTAGATCTGAAGCTCTTCTCTGCTATTGTTTTTAAATTATTTTTACTTAAATCAAGCCTCAACAGAGAAGGAAGATCTTGAAATGTACCCATCTCAATAGTCTCTAAAAAATTACCTGTTAACGATAAGATTTGCAAATTGGGGAGATTTTTGAAACATCCTGGCAACAACGATGTCATATTAATCCTTTCCAAATGTAATAAAGTTAAAGGCATAGGTTGATCAAAATATTCCAATGCACTATCTTTAAATGGGTTCCCACTCAAGAACAGCAAGGATATTTGCTTCAGATCATAAAATAGTCCATGCGGAAGATATTGAATATAATTATCTTGCAGATTTATTAATGTCAAGTTGAATAGGCCATCAAATGCTCTGGGATAGATTATCTCAAGTTTGTTAGATTTTAAATGTAGTTTTTCTAATAAGTTCAAACCGTCAAATGCGCCGCTGTGTATTTCCTGAACAGCGCTATTCGATATTGTAAGAAATTTCAAACGATAATAATCAGTGAATGCCTGCGATGGAATGTAAGTGTACGTCCCCAACGTGAGCTCCAGTGCCTCAACGTGGAAACAAATTTGTTCGTGTGGCACACAGTCCATATTTTCGCACACGCACTTCTGGTTTTGGCGGTCGTACATGCAGGATATGATGCTTGTTTCATTGCATGATTGTGTCCTGTTTTTTTGAATTAATGCGATTACTGAAGTTAAAAATAATATCCAATTAGCAGGTGTCATTTTGTCCAGTTTGTACATCCTGAAAAATAAATCAAAATTTAATTCAGTTGAAACAAAAATGATTTTTGACTAACATGTAGATCTGTTCCTGTCTAATAAAATCAAGGAAAACAAAATTCTGTTAGTACAGGTTTCAATTCAATTGAATTTCTTTAATGCTACAAATACCATCAAAGGGCCAATATCCACATAAAAAAAGACATGACAAAAAGTGACAAATTGAAAATACTGTCTGCTTAGTTCATTGAGTAAAATAAATAATAAAACAGAAAGCCAAAATAAAAACAAATAAACAAAAAAATAACAAATGCCAATATTGTAAAGATATATTAAACAACCAGAATATATTTAGAAGGATAAAGCAGACACAATAATCTTTCACCTATAAGGTACAAGACAGATTTCATCTTCAGATGGAAACTAGCAGTTTAAAAACAAATAAAGCAAAAATTGCATTCCCAATATATGTCAGTATCGTACCTCATTTAATACACAAAAGCAACACTAAACACATTACACATTTATTATATGACCACTAATTGTATGTATAGAATTTGGAACAAAAGATCGTTGTCTGAAGCGGGAGGTTATTTTTACGCCTCAACAAAGAAAGTTCAGGGTAGGCCCATAATGCCAAGGTTAGATGTGGTTAAAAGTGGTCTATTGTGGATTTAAAGAGAAAATGAGTACTGTTTAAAATTAGAATTTAACCAATAATTGACACAATTGGGTTGCCTTTAAATATTACGATTACAAGTAGAGCTACAGCTTAAAGATGCTTATTTACAATCTTGGGTTCCTTTACTATATTTCAATCCAGTATTATCAAAAGGGGTTTCCCTTCTTAATGTGTTATAGCACAGTCAATTTGAGCATAGTTATATCCTTCAAAAGCTAGGTTCTATACAAGTTTGCTTTTAGATTTTTCCACTAAAGGGGAGATATTATTATACACAAGCTACTGTATATTGCATAATAGATACAAACAATGGTTCTCAAAGCTACTGATATCTAAAAAAAGCAATAAAAAGAAAAAGCAATAATTATTGTTTTGAAACAAAATAATGTGTGTATATGAACATCATAACTTGCTTTTCTCCAAGGTAAAATTTGGTCTTTATCTACAGTTGCACATTCAATAGATCCTTAAACAGAGTTCAGGACACTTTTTTATCTTGAGTAGTTTGGCATTACAAAGTGTTCCTTTTTGACATATTACTACATTACAACATAGTTACGGAATTTTGTTTTTCGTACAGAGCCAATGATAAGTCTTTTGGGTCAAAGAAATACAATATATTGAGAAATAAAAATGCTTGAACACCCCCGCCTCCTCCTCAGGCCAATAACCTAAGACTTACTTTATTCCAGGTTTAATTTTGCCCTTGTGAGAAAAGATTTCAAATAAAAAAAAAATAATTTAATAAATAAAAATTAATATTGAAGACTTTCATTATATTTTAAAGTTATAATAAATAAAGAAAGTTATAAATAAATATTGGCTGTCCCCTCTTTAAAAATGGGCCTTGACACGAGTCATTACTTATAGTTAACATTTTTTCCCGTGATTACTATTAGCGGGAAAACTCAAAGAGAAATACTATAGTTGCACTAGAATGAATGCAGACGTCGCACCAGAGTCATGCGTTGAATTGCAATACCATGTGTAAACATACAATTCTCTATTCCTTTGTTCCTTGCCTTAGAAATTTTGGTTGAAAAAAATTAAAAACAAGCTTCCATCCTATTCCCAAAGATAACTTTCTTGAAGAACTGATGCTATACTATCTTGGTTTTAATTAAAACATAATTTCTGAAACCTGAAAAGAAAAATTCAAAATTTTAAAAAAAAAGATTGATTAAAATTTAAACATACCTTGATAATTGATAAATGGATCCAGATTTGTTTATAAATTTTAAGCCAGCATTTCATTGAGAATAAAAGTATAATTATTTATCCCATAACATTCTTCTGAATGTTGTTATTCTCTTTGGTCAACCGCCACTGTGCACAAGCCAGGGAGTTGATCGCTTATGAATGAGCTGTATTAGTTAACGCTTCCTTGATTTGGTGCTGATGCGTGCTTTAATCTCCTGGTCCTGTTTGGTACAGAACTGCATTGTCTCTAGGGCTGACCTGTAAAGTTTGAAGGTCAACAGAGGTCATTTCAACAGCTGTGTGGCCAATCCACTCCATAGCATTAGGATAGCACCTTTACTGACCTTCAACTTTTAGCTCCATTACCTGAACCATATTTTTAGTACCTTTTATTGTTTTTATGAGGAACTAAGTACTCCCATGGTCTCTCTTGTTAACTTTTAATATACTGTATGCTCAACATTCTTTTACGTTTGCATCACTGAGTTATTTTTGTTAATATGTATGCTTTTTATGAGTTAATAATGGGAATAGTCAATTGAAATGATGTTAATGTACAAATTATGTGTTTCATGTTACTATTATTGCTATGGTTACCATATATACAGATGCCACCCTAGTGGCAGTTTAGTCCCCTGTTATTCAAAAATGGTGATTTATTGAAGAGAGAAAAACTACAACCAATTTGGCTTGTCAAGGGATCAATTTTGTGGTTAAACATTTCAATGGGCTTATTGTTTATATTGTGGCTACAGAATAGGTATCATTCGGTGTAATTATCTCTCAATGAGTCATAAATATTGTTTAGATGAGCAAAAATGTTTTTTTCCCTTGTAAATACAGTTGAGAAAATCAGGATTTAGAGTTTGTATAGTAAAGCATAATAATAGAAGCAATTGAAAAAGTTTTAGCTTATAGGATTTGATAAAGTACTTGTTAAAATTGGCAGAGGTACATGATTTAATTGGTATGGTAAAGCTTTAGTAAAGGTGAAGAAGGAAAGGTATAGCTGTTGAATATGGTTAAGCAATAGACAAATGTGGAGGGGCATGTAGCAGGATCCCGACGTAGGGGTCACAGTGAGCACATTCCTCCCATTTTGCCACTAAATTTTAAAATTTCAGTGCATGCCAGTGTTATGTATTTAAATAAGCAATACTCACTTATCTATTCTAAATATGTGACCCCTCCCCATTTGAAAAATTCTGGATTCACCTCTGTGTAGTGTGATCCATATGTTTAATTAGTTTAAGATAAGTATAGAGGAGGAGAGCTTCTTATTTCTAAAATTGGGATGTGATTTATAATTTAGAAAGTGAAGAGGTGGAATTCTATGTGTGAAAGTTTATTTTTCAAAACTTCAGAACTGTGGCTGGAAAACCAATTGCTGAAATTCTTCAAAAAGGGGGTTCCGATAATAATGATGAGAACAGAAAATTCATCCGTTTTGGACTGAAAGAAATGGAGGAAAAGGCTGAAGAACACGGCGTTACTAGAGGAAGCATAGTGGAAGCAGTGTAAGTGCCGACTTTTCCAATAACAGTTTAATTATTTTAATTTTTGCACCAAGTGTAAATTCTTATTACTACTGTAATAGTCCAAAATCTCTAAAAGAAAAGTTGCAGTCAATTAAATAAAAGTTCGGACAAAGCCCCCTCTGTGAAGAAAGGTAACAAAATACTACTGGGGCCTGGCTTACAAAAGGCATGCTAACCTACCAAGGCATAGGTTGGCAGATCAGACAAACTTGGCTTAGCTCAACTAGGCTTCAATATTAATAAAAATTAAAAACACTGTTTTTGGTTTGACAACAGAATAATTTATGTACGAAAGTGCGTTCTTCATGTTTATCGGGTCATCGATCCATGGAAGAAAGACTACGTATCCAATATTTCAATATTGTTGGAATATAATAATATATTGCCTATGTCTTTGATTTTTTTTTCTCTATATATAGGAATAAACAAAATTACCTGACTTTTTCAGGAGGGGGAAAACCTTGAATTTTGAAGAACTTAAAGGTCATTAAAAGACACCTCAGAAGTCGAAAAAGCCATCTAGGAACCAAAATTTTCCCGGTTAGGACACCCCCTTTCTTTTTGGTGTTTTTTTAGAAATATTTTAAACCCCCTCTTTCAAATCCTGGATCTGCCCCTGTGATTGCACAACTACTGGATAAAAGATATAAATTTTACCTTTGCTATTTTTCCTACAGGATCCATTCTGTTAAGGAAGGTCAGGTGAATGTGGTTGTCAAGGGCTGTATCCAAGGACGGATTCATGTTACTGAAATAGTGGACGAGGCTCCTCTACATGTAAGTTATTAATATAAATATTATATGTCCTTCAATATACTTCCTTTAAACACTCAAGGATGTTGTTATATAACTGCTCGTCTTGCTTATGAAAATAAAGACATCTTGTGTCTTGTATCTTGTGATGTGCACCTTCAGTGGGTAAAATGAAATTGCATTGTGCCTTGCTAGACTTTTTACCTTTCCCAATTATATAGGCTGTATTTAAATTATGAGCCCACACCCCACATAAGGTTTTGAAAATTATAGGGATATGAGAAGAAAATAATTATCTTAAAATTTATGTCCTAGTGTTTCATTTCTGGCCATGAAGGTGTGCCAAAGCAGTATAAATGCCTGACAATGATTTTTTATGAAGTCCACGAAAATGAATTACAAAACCCTATATGTGCAGCCTGCCAACCATCTTTGGCTGGAAAAGACCTTGTTTTTTTAGAACCTGACACCGATCATCTGTAAAAAGTAATATTAAAACCGAGCATAAAGCAGTGCATGAAGTTTTTGAAAGCGCACTGGAAACATAAAAGTGAAGCTGTCTTTAGAAAAGAAAATTTTATTTTGAAATCAAAAATTCACTTTGGTCCTCCGATTAATTGTTATGCCCACCCCTGCCCTATTAACCTTTGGCTTTAACTTTATTATAATGGCAGAAGTTTAAACTCAACCACCTGTTTTACCATACTTGTTTAGTCGAGTGTCTAAATTAATTCATTATCAGTACGGAATGTTAAATTTTGTTTTGATAATAGAGTAATTTAAGCAACCGTTATCAGTTGAGCGAAAGTAATACTTAGAAAAAAAAAACAAGAAAAGTGCTGAACAAAGTAAAATGAAAATTCATAGGTTTTTTTTAACCTAGCAAAACCATGACTTTAGTTAGCTAGCCACTTGACCCTTTCTTTAACTGCTAGGTCATGGAACTTTGCTAGATCATAGAGGGCTCTCTTAAGG